ATTAGTACCTGTGTGTGCGCGTTGTTTGAGTTATGTCGCATGGTTGGATTCTAAAGCCATCAAAATCAATTTTGTGATTTACTGCTACAATTAATAATTGTCCCAGTAAATGCCCAAACCCTACAGAAATGGTACCTTCAGAGAGCACTACATTACATTTTGGCTATGGCAACGTTACAAATGGAACAAGACTATTTTCAGTTGCATCACATTTTCAGTGCAAAAATAAAGAAGAACCAAACCTTTTCCAACAAGTTTGCTTTCTGTGCCAGTCAGTATGTTCTTTGTAGTTAATACAGACATCCTGTTTTCAGAACATTGTAAGTTCAATGACTGATCTCATTCAAGTCACCAATGTCTTTTTGTATGAATAATGTCTTGAATGTTGGAAAACCTAGAAGTAGCTGGCCTTAAGCACATTTTACTATGAGGAAAAATTTTACTTCTGTAGGTTTATCTGGTCATCCTCATCAGTTTGCACAATAGATAAAAGTAAAAATAGCAGCTGAAATAGTTCCAGTAAGATTTCCATGATCAGTGTTTTCATGTGTTAAAAGAGTAAAGGAGAGCAAACTCACATCCAGCCTCATCGCTGTCATCATTACAGTCCTTTTCTCCATCACACCTCCAGAAATTGGGGATACATTGAGTTTTAGATGCACATGACCACTGGAACTCACTGCACTTTACTTCTGAAGGCCTGCAGTCCTATAACAGGAGAATAAACTGGGACTTTCAGTTGATTGTTTACCAAAGCCTTATCCATTTCCATCTTTATCTACTTGTTATAATCTGATTGTTTGTTTCAGCAGTGTCCTGCTGTAAGTATGCTACCAGCAGATTTAAAAAAAAATCTTTACATCTGTCCAATAAGCATGCAGAAGCTTAAGCTAATCATTTAACAGAAGATTCCTTTTAATGGTCATTACAACAGACACTCCAAGTCACTGGCCTTGTTAGTCCTTCCAGTACACAAATATCTAAAATGTGAAAATGTAGTTAGTGGGAACATATCTGAATACCCTTATCTAAAACCCTGTAGTTTGGACAAGGTCAATACTTTATTTCTAAACTTTTTAAAGTTTAGACAGGTTAGGCTTTTAAATTAAGCAAATACTTCCATTCAGGACACACTCTAAATTCAATATGCTTGATAAGACTAAAAAAAAAACAAAAACAAGTTCAAGCTCTTCACAAACCAGCTGCTTGTGATAAGTTATAAGCCTATTAGATGTTAATAGCTTACTTAATTTGGGATAAAATTAGTATTAGTCAGCTGTGCATTTCAGGAATCAGCTTAATACTTGGAGTTTTTGGCAGGGGAGAATTAACTGGCTTCAGGTCAGATTTGCAATTGTGGAGATTTGGTAGCAATATTAAATTTACCTCAACAAAAAACAAATAAGCAGAAGGTTCATCACAGAAAGATTAATGGCAATTTTGTTCATAGAATTAAAGAGGACCAGTACCATCAGTATGTTTTGTTTTTTACTCGCACCTTCTCATCTGTGCCATCCTTACAGTCTTTATCCCCATCGCAGATCCACTCTTCCAGCAGGCATTCATGGCTCTCTGGACACCTCTTCTTGGTGGGGCAGTGGGGGGGCTTGGAGCAGTCTTCCTCATCTGAGTGGTCCCTGCAGTCCGCATCACCATCACAGCGCAGGCTAAGAGAGAGACACTGCCCGCTGCCACATCGGAACTCTGAGCTGCTGCACTCCTGTTCAGCTAAGACACAGGGAAGATTACATTTGCTACAGACATTCACAGATTGAAAACCACTGTAGCTTTTATTAAACCAAGAATGCTGCAAGCCATTTTAACTTTTATACTGCTCATCTCATTAAAATGTGCATCTTGGAGGGCATTTTTAAACAAAATCCAAATGCTGTAATTTAAGGTCTGTGCTGATATGCTCATCTCCATAACTCACCTGTATTTGGAGCATGGCTCTAAACAATTTGAGCCTCGTTTGTTCTCTGGCCTGTTTTATCAATTTTTAGGAGACCCTACATGGAAAAGACATGATTCTTGTTCTAAATATCACAGCAGTAATGCCATGTCTGGAATAGTACTGTATGTGATCAGCACCTTTGCAAATGAATAACAAATTATATGCACTTATTTTAAAAATGTGACATAGTATATTGATAAAAACAAAGAAACATTAAAATTGTTAGTTCACTGAAATACCTACTTCTCATCACATTTTAAATAGTTGCATGCCCTACTGCATAAACATAAGCCAGCAGCCATATCACTCTGCAAGTCACAACTGGCAGCCCACTGAAGCAAAGCAGGTGTGAGCCTGGTCAGTACCTGGATGGGAGATCTCCTGGGAAAAACGAAGGTTGCTGCTGGAAGAGGTGTTAGTGGGGCCAGCAGGGGGCGCTCACCCTGTGGTCCACGTGGGTCCTAATGCCCCAGTATATGTGTGATGGGGACATTATACTGTAAACAGGTGCCATTCTTCGGATGAGACATAAAACCATTAAAAATCCCAAGGCTTTTCTCAAAAAGAGTAGGGGTGTAACCCCGGGGTCCTGGCCAAATTTCCCAGTGGCCCTTACCAATAATGGCCTCCTAATAATCCCCATCTATGAATTGGCTTCATTACTCTGCTCTCACAGCTATCACTGATAGCTGATGTGTGGTGAGCATTCTGGCGCACTATGCCTGCCGTCACATCATCCAGGTGGATGCTGCACATTGGTGGTGGAAGGGAGTCCCCATTACCTGTAAAGCACTTTGAGTGGAGTGTCCAGAAAAGTGCTATATAAGTGTAAGCAATTATCATTATAAGAGCTTCAATATATTAGTCAGTCCATGCCACATCCTAAAGCTGTCAGCTGTAGAGAGTAAGCAAGTATTCTGGGTCATCTTTAAGTGCTTAAGGAGCTGGGAAATGACCTGTGATCCTGAGCATTTCAACTTACCACAGTTGGCCTCATCCATCTTGTCCACACAATCATATTCGCCATCACAGCGGAAGCTCTCAGGGAAACACCGGGAGTTGTTATCGCAGCGGAAGGCACAGCTTTCCGTGGGCTTCCAGCAGTTTCTTTCATCTGAGCCATCCTGGCACTCTGAGGTGCCATCGCACACCAGTTTCTCTTCAATGCATTTCTTCCCGTGGGCACACTGAAAGAAACCTGAAGTAACAAAGTTACAAGAATCAGTCCTAGCCAAGCTTGTGAAGCATGAGAATGCCAAAATTGTTTCATGTAGCATGGCATTGGAGTTCACAGTGATTGCTTTTCCAAAATGTCATTCTAGCCATAAAGGGAACAGTTATTTTATTAAACTACAAAATCCTTTGTAATCTAAATATGTACTGGTTTTACATTCTTAATGAGAAATAACATGTTTCCTTTGAATGGCTGCTTCCATTTTTATAAGATAAACAAAGCTAGGTATCCTTAGAAAGTTGTGACAAGTTTAAACCAAACTGTTTTTGAGTAAAAATTCAATGTATCCTATGAAACGTATATTAGATTCAGACAGAACAAATTCATCCAATAAGTATGATAACTGATGTAACAAGGTGGAACAAGCTAAAGATAGGCCAACATTCTAGAATGTCCCATATGCATTTTATGACAAGCTTTCAGTGCTTTCAAATGGTTTAATTGACAGTTCTCTGCTTGGTCCTACTATGAGAATCTACAACATTGTTGAATCTACATAAGAGGGATTACTGAACACCCAAGTATATAACTCATTATGTGTTGCAAAAGAACCAAAGAAACTGTTTTAAATCTGAAATCCTTATTTAGACTAAAATCCACTATACCTGTCGGGCATTTATCTGCACAGCTGTCTTCATCAGAGCTATCCTTGCAGTCTGCCTCCCCATCACACCAGTGGCTATAGAGAATGCACTCCTTCCCATCTCTGCACAGCTTAAATCCCAGGTTGCACACAAGGGGGGCCATTGTCTCTGTGACGGACCCGTTTGCATCCTGGAAACCTAGAAAGAAGGCCCTGACCTTCAGACATGTATTGTCTGTGTGAGGATTTACAAAAGCTGACTGTTTCAAATCCAGAATCAAACAATTCTCTCAAGCTGGAAAATTTTGGAAAGCTGTATGTGTTTAAAAACGTAGATGTCATTACTTTTCAATACTAAATAATTGATGTGGTATTTTAGAGTTCACCAGGCTTAGAAAAGGCACTACACAGTTAGATAATAAAAGGAACAGGATTCCTCCTGACTTTCCAGGTTCTGCATAGCCTTCAGACATCACACCAATAATGTCTAAGAACAGATTGATACAGGTCCAGAAACATTACTTTTAAATATGATTGAGATCAAGTGGCAAATCCAGAGTGCTCAAATGGCATCATTCTGCTCCCACTTATCATAAAAGTACATTTTATCAGACTGATAGGTCAGTCCTATCACTTTCTCCCCCCCCATGTGTGGATAAAAGTATGAAATCCTGAAAAGCAGCAGAGCAAACCACTTCAAAAACCTGCATTGTGCTAAAAAAGTCAGCAAGAATTTCTCTTTTACAGTCGTTATTAAAGAAAACTTCATACCATTGGAAAGGATTCCTTTCTAAAAGCTATTCTCCAGAACATCTACCTGAAAAATAGTAATTGAAGGGAACTAAAGAATGCTAAAAAGGTCTAATTAAAAGATAGTATAAAGATATCTACTACAAACCGTGACAATGTGGAGAACTTGAGGGATATTGCTGGTGAAAGCTATTATATGCCACAATTTTAATTCATTAAAATCTTCAAAGTATTTTGTTCCATTTCAGTAAACGGAAGGGTTCTAAGAAATATACTAAGTACATACACAAAAAAAGGTTGTGAATGTAGTATTACAATCTTATTTTACAGGTTTCAGCACTCACCAGCCAAACACACTAAAGGTCTTGCACAATGTTTTGCGAATGGGTAAGGGACAATCATGATAAACAGTTTAAGGTTATATTGGATCCATTACACTCTTGAGAACCTGACCAAATGTCTGATTGTCCAATTAGACTACTTGAAAGACTCACGGCAGTCTTCATCTGCTCCATCGATGCAGTCTGCGTTGCCATCGCAGTACTGTTTATCAGACACGCACTTTGTGCCACCGTCACAACGCAGTTTGCAGTTGGGTGTCGTAACAGGACAGCCGGACTCGTCAGAACTGTCCAAGCAGTGAGGTTCTCCATCACAAACCAATGCCTTTTCAATGCACTTTTGGCCATCTTTACACTGGTAATATCCTGAAAAAAAAAACATCTGATGCAACATACTCTTTTCTAAAACCACAAACTCTAAGTGCCTCAGTATTTAAGACAAGGTTAAACAAAAGGTCTGTAAACAGGTGCAGAAAAGCTGGAACTACAAATGTCAAGAAAGTTTTAAATGTAGTAATAACTGTTGTGAGAGCTTTAATACTTGTTTTTATTTTAACAGTTACTTATCATATATTAAAGTAGGACCACAAATATTCACATGCTTTAGAATGAGAAATTAAATATTTCTAATCTCCATTAAAGGGTTCATTTCAGATAATACAGTATTACATATTTTATATTGAAGACTTACTATACACAGAAAAGCTGTACCACTTTAAGGTATGGTGCTTGCAAACTACTGTAACAGCTATCCCTATTTCAAGACAACAGCTGAGTACAAAAAAATAATTTGCACATCACCTGATCTTATTCATTCTAATTGAAGTGTGGCTTGGATGGCTTTAGAGAGAATATGAAATTAAATGCAAAAAAGTAGCAACATCCATAGGGTGAAAACCTCAAGCAAGCCACTCAAATGAGCAGTATTTCACTACTTGTGGATAATTTACACAGTGCCCCATAACCTCATGCATAGCTTCTAAATAGGGACAACTACTTGGAAATACCTGGTTCTTTACACTTCGTGTCACAGGATTCTTCATCAGAACCATCTGGGCAGTCCTTATTCCCATTGCACAACTGTTCTATGGGAATGCAGTTCACACCCTTTCGGCATGCTACAAACGCACTAGGGCAGGACACAGATGGAGCAATTGCAGCTTCTGTAGCAGTAGTAATAGTAAACGTAGTTGTTGTAGTAGTAGTAGTAGTAGTAGTAGTAGTAGTAGTAGTAGTCCCATCTGCTGACGGTGAAACCACTGGTATAGTAGTTGGAGCAGCAGTAGATGTTTTAGTCATGTCTGTCCAAGAGAAAAAAAGATGCTTAAGGTAACAGGTCATTTAGTTAACTGCAGGGGTTTCCAACCATGATCTTTATTTTCCCCGAGTTCTCTACTTAATCTGATCCTTAACTGAACTCATAAGAGCTGCCTGAGTGAAAGTTTAGGAATGCCACCCCCCAGAGTTAGAAGTTGGACAACTTAAGTCACTGAAAACAAAATTATCAGTTAAGGTTTGATTATGTCTGTTCTGTGAATTAAATCAGCTTGTGTGAGGGATCAGGATTGGGATCCCCTGACTTATAAAACATGGTTAATTCTGTTGTTGGTTAGTTTTTCCAGGACCAGGACTCCCAGGTCAAGGTCTTTGGGAAATTTAGAAGTCCTGGAGAGTCATTAGACACTTTGCAGTAACACTGCGAGACATTGTGAATAGTGTGGGGGGCAACTGGTGACTCTTTAGTAGGATGAAATGACAAGGATATTAAAAAGAACATTTGGGTAGTATGTGATGAGAACTATACATCATTTTAGTATTGAACAATTAAATCAGATGAAGTTCATTGAAACATGGAACGTCCTTTAGCACCAGTGACTTACGGCAGTCATTTTCATCTGTTCCATCTCTACAATCTTTCTTTCCATCACAGCGAGAGCTGGGCGAGAAGCATGAGGACCCACTGTCACATGGGTTGGTGCACTCTGTCACTAGTTCTTGGCATCGGTCTTCATCTGAGCCGTCTGTGCAATCCAACACTCCATTGCATATCAAAATCCTTTCGATGCACATGCCATTATTACACTGAAAGTTATCTGCCAGGAAACAAGAATCATTTTCAAACCCAGCCTCATCTACCTCACAGCTATGCTTCTGTTTAAGGTTCCTTTGTACAGCTGCTCTTTCCTTTTGGGGTATTTTGTAGTCAATAGAAATGCAATAGAAAAGCACAACTCATTGTCTACTCTAATTTCACACAAAATAGGGCGAAAAGCGTGAAGAGAGGCTTGGTTTAATCAGCCCTCATTTTGCAAAATAGATTAACTCAAGAATCTTACTTCCATCCCAGCTCCGATATTTTAAAACAGAAGCTGTATGAAAAGAACAGTGCAACTGCAGACTGACTTACTACATGAATTTCAACCTGTTGAACAATCCATAATTCTAACCTCAAAACTTAGTCTTTCCTGTGCCTCTGCAATGTCATGTAGTTTGTAATTGGTAAATAGATGTGTTTTAATAACAAACAAAATAAAGAATATTCAAAACATAAAATGATTGTTGTTAAATTGATAGTTATTGAATAGTACTTTCCAAAAACATACAGTAGTTGGAGACTTCTCACTAAATTTCCACTACTAATGGAATTACCAGCAAAGATTAAATTTAAGTTGTAGAATGCATTTTGCAGACTTAAAGTGTCTTAGAACAGTGCAGTGAACTTACTAGAAATTCAGCATTTTCCTATTTAAGAGCAAAGGAAATAACCTAGTCATTTAATTAGATACTTTTCTCTTTGAAACTTACTGAAGAGAAGATTAATAACCAAGTACCTGGCTCAATACAATTTCGTGGACAGTCCTCTTCATCTGACCCATCAGCACAATCTTTCTCCTTGTCACACAGATGGTCATAGCGGACACAGTCACTCTGATCCCAGCATGCCACTGTCAACCTGGGACACGTGCGGACAGGGGTTCCAGTAGGTCGTCTTAAAAGAGGACTCACAGCTGAAGGAGATCAAGTATTGAATCCAGAAGTATTACTGCTTGGTGACATTTCTGTATGAGCTCAATTGATAGTCAAAGCTTTAAGGTTGAGATTAAATAACCCTCTCTAATGTTGAATATCTAGTTCATGGCCTCTTGTTGATCTATATGGTCATCCCTGTTGAGTGTAGATTGTCTATTCAGTGTAAAGTTTCTATCCATCTTTAAATGAACACATTCAAAAACCATTTTTAAGACAACAGGATAATGGCAAAGGCACAAAGATAATTCATTCGTTTATCTTGTCAAATTAACCTCATTAGCACTTTGTTGTGTACAGTACTAGTTAAGTATGATTGAAAAGTAATGTATCCAAAATGTATTGTATTGGGAAAAAAACCCATAATATTTGAAAAATATTGGCAGATTACTATGGCGTTACATAAAGAGATCCTTTTTTCCCTCATCCTGTAAAGCAAATTCACAAAACCCCAATCATTTTATCACCCCCTCCAATTTGGAATTGCCTGCTGTGACCATTGCACCCAGAGAATGAGTAAGTGCAGACAAGCTACTGTCAGCATTGACCCACCAAACTGTTCACTTAACACCTTACATATTCTCCAATATGCAGAAGAGTCATTGTCAACTTAGGCCAAGGAATCCCCCTCTCCAACCACTGAAATCACATGGCTCTGAAACAGCTCTGACTAATATCAGCACTGACCCTCAAACAGTCAGCTAGTGATGTGACCAAGGCTTGAACTTGTGACATCTGTATCATGTATTAACCTACACTCACAGTAGCTTTGTTGGAAAAGAAGCCATGCAGCAGTTTGTCCATTAGTAATGTTCTTTTTGTGACAAAGATACCCTGCGACAAAGGCATGCAAACTCCCTATATGCATATAAAATTAACTCACAACACTGTTCTTCATCTGATCCATCATCACAGTCCTTTTTGCCATCACACTGAACTTTATGGACAAAGCATTTGGCATCTCCATCGCAGCGGAAGGCACAATCGTTACTTTTTGGTGGGCAGTTTTTCTCATCTGAGCCATCTTCACACTGATTCATGCCATCACAAACCAACTTCTTCTCAATGCATGTACTATTGGGGCAACTAAAATGATCTAAGAAAAAAAAATCCCCCATTATGCCTTTAAGTGTGCAGATCAGAGAAAGCTGCTGTCAATAGTTGCTGACGGGAGAATATACTGTAGGAGACAATAGGAGAAGATATCACATTTCAATTTAAAAACTACAAACCTAAACTAAAAACCTTCAAAAAAAATCTTGACAAGATTCCATTTGAAAATCAGAAGCCTTTAACTTACATCATATATTCTAATGGAACTATTTTGTGAAAACAATCTTAACCAGATATTGTGGCAACTGTAAACTTTCTTTAAAAAAATATCTTTACGACTAAATACAATTTAGGAAAACTATTACACCCACAGAAGATTTAGCTCTTAATAGAAACACCCAAGGGTGACTGAGATTGAGGCATGCAAGTCTGGAAAGGGAATGCTTACCAGGACCATTTAACTCAACCTAAAATTTAAAAATAATTCTGCTATATAACTAGAATAACTAAAGGTTAACTGAAATTTGAAAGGGAACCATTACAATTATAGAATTAGAACTTGTGTAAGTCTGTTTTTAATTTTCACCTATGAAACTGATGCAGTTTAAATATACTGTAGTGAACAACTTTTACAAAGAATTTGCAATAAACAGATACCTGGATCAGCGCATCTTGGACAATTGTTTTCATCAGAGCCATCAGCACAGTCCTTCTCCCCATCACAGAGGTGGTCGTAGTGGACACAGTTGCTTCCATCACTGCAGGGAACAAATGTCCTGGGACAGACACGAGCTGGTGCGCTGGCTGGCTCCTTTTGGTTACTTTTAAAAACTAGACATAAGACATGTATATTCTAAAATGCAGGGTGCCAGTACATCAAGGAAGTTCCCTTTCATGAAATTCCTCAATAAATACTTGGAACACTCAATTCCTACCCTAACCAATTGAATCTAAAAGGAAAATACAGTACGCATGACCCATGACAACACCAACCTGAAGCCTAACTCTTCTAGCTGCATTGACTGGAGGACAGAATTAATCAAGCCCCTGAGAGGATGAAAGACATCTGCTTGTACAGACTTTGCTGACCTTGTTCCATATCCTTGGCCAAAGGCATGACCCTGAACACACCCCTCTCCAGCTCAACTGTTGTGAGCTTCTTCATCAGTCTGCGATCCCATAGGGTGAGGATATTATCCAGCAAGGATGCTAGATAGGGCTCATGTGCAGCAACAACCGATCCATCCAGGACCCACTTTCCTTTCAGAGAGGAAATCTTTTTCTTCAGGACACTCATGATTTGCAAGCCTAAATAAAATCAGTTAAAAAAGTCTGTCTTCATCTCGACTTGAACAGCTTGCTGAGACCTCTATTTTCTCTCTATTATTTGAACCTGAGACAACCAGTTGAGCAGAAATACAAAATGTTAATTCGGTAATGTCAGCATACATTAATTTGAACAGGTTAGGTATGCTAGTATTACACTTGTCAATAATTAAAAAATAAATGATATTGAATGTAGAGAATCTTACCTGAGTTGTTGCTGTTCCAGATGAAGCTGTTTGATTTTATGTCCAGAACTATCTGGTCTGGATTGTATCCTGAGACATCCAGTATTTCTTTCACATTGCCACCTATTAGATTCATCTTGTACACGTGCCCCCTTTCCAGCCAATACAAATTATCCCTTGGCCAATCCACATACAGATCTGTGAGAACTTCAGTTGCATGATACAGCTGCTTTGTGGAGCTAACATCCGTATAGGGCATCGAGGTGACTCCAATATTAAGCCCATCACATGACAGCCAATAGAGATTTCCAGATCTCTGGTCAACTTTGATAATACAAGCTGCAAAAGGAAAAATGTGATTGCAAAATGAACACAAGGAAACCTGTCTATTAAGATACTGAATGGCCTATGGAAGCCCGTTTCCGCCAGGGAGTAAAAAAAAAACGCGCCTCGCTGCACTGGCTCACTTTCTTTAACCCCGGCGGCCACCATCCCTGTTATGCGCAGGGGAGGGTGGTGTACTGCAACCAGATCGTGCAACCTGTATGTCGGCCTTTCCGTTACACTATTTTCATGAATCATACAGGATTATAGGATCTATAAGCCTGAAGACTTGTCCTGTACAGTGCCCTGATAAAAATCAAATTACACTAATTTTTATAGAATCCTATTTCCGCCAGTGAGGCTTCCATAGTACCCAGATGGAATAGTGCACGGTGGGCTTTTTAAAAATAGTTTTTATTTAAATAGACAGAATATGAAATAAGATACAGAAATAGGCACTTCACATCCAGAAGAATTCACAATTATAAAAGCTGAAACATACTTTTTACGTATTTCCATTGTATGTCCTTTTTTACTTAAAAAAGGTCTTCTTTTGCTCAGCTGGCAAGACTCAGGTTCAAGCCAGTGCAGCGAGGCACGAACTATGGTGGGAGCGGCGAGGGCACAATCCCTAGAACCCGAATCCGTTACAATAACAAAAGGACAGACAATGAAATATGGCTATTTCGAAGTCACAAATGTGAGATATATGAAGTCGCAATTCTGACTTGCTAAGTCGCAATTCTGACTTGCTACAGTAAGTCGCAATTCTGAGATACCATAGCGCATTTTTTTTTACTCCCTGGCGGAAACGGGCTTCCATAAATGGCTGTTTTGTGTAAGTTTAATGTACAAAATGGTTGTGTATGTTTACAATATGCTCCCATTCTTGGAAACATTGATATCAAACATGCATAGACATTTCTGAAGTTAATTTCAATGTCCAGAGCAAAAGCTCTGCAAATACTTTGCATATGATCTGCATACTAAACTAAATCTGTAAAAATAGTATGAGGACAACACTCAGATTTGTAACATGACTTCACAAATCAAAACTCATTTCACAAATAAGTCCTAATTTTAATATGAAATGTAATTTAAGAAATCACCCAGCAGCAAAATATATTTTGTTACGAGATGACTTGCTTATATTAGTCTTTGCATTTGCATTGTTTTGTCAAAAGAACGTGAATTTTAGAAATCATTGCTCCCTGTGTGCAATACTGAATGTCACAAGTAGCTTTAAACAATCCAATAAATTTATTAAAATCTGTAGGATGCCAAAGCAATTTGCTTATAGAGGGGGACTCACTTTATCCAAATCAAAGTACAGCATTTCCTGCAATGGTGCAGGGCAGCTAAATCACAGTGTGCTCACTACATACTCATGTCTGAGAAGTGAGGAATTTACTAAATTCAAGCAAGCCTACAGTCAAGCTTGAGTGATACTAACCTGCTTCTTCCCTCCAAACATAGAATAATGGGATGTTTTACATTTTTCCATACACCACTGCTTACTTTGGATACTTTAACATTGTTAACTGAATTTTTGCATATTTAAAATCTAATATCCAAAAACCAAATTTAATTTAAAAGTCACACCTGGGCTGAATGTAGCAATGTCTTCCGTTACATCCTCTTCAAAATCTGTACTCTTCACTTGCCCTGTTCCATTGGTCCAGAAGAGCAAGTTCCTTTTCCAATCAACGTCAAAGGATGTGATCGTTTCATCAGAGGTCATAATTGACCTCTTTATCACTCTATCTCCAAATTTTACAGTATGCACATCAACTGGTGTTGCATATGCAAGGTATAAATCTGCAAAAAAAAGGCGAAAGTCAGTTTGGATAAAGAATAGCTGGTTCCAGTTGTATACCTGGTTTTCATTTGGCTTACAGTATTGCATGTGCTACAAACCACTTAGGAGAAGTCACCATTAATTCCAGTGTCCCAAATAGCTTAAAAAGGTAAAAAATAAAAGATAATACAGCAATAAGCTGAGTCTGTAAACTACTTATTCCACTAGCAAACTGTAATAAATAAACTCTTGAACAATATTAACAGAATAACTGCAGACAGTAGGAAAAGTAACTAAGTATGCAATAACCATATATTCAAAGCTACACCGTATAAAGACCTTAGATGAAATGCAACTAACATTACTCCATAGTACTCATCTTTTCAGTCTTTGTGCAGTACAAAAAAACTGAACATTTGCCATTAATTTTTAGTCTATCAAAGATATGGGCTCAGGGTATTCAGTACATATACAGTACTTATTAGGAATCAGTTTCAATAATTAACCATACTTTCCCCCAGAAAGAAGATAAGACAACACCAATACTAAAATACTTCCTGATATGGTACTCCATCTTAGAGTATTTACTGTAGGTTTGTAACCAAGAAATTTTTGACCAAGAAAGTTACTGTCACCTATTACGAGGTGTTAAAGGCACAGTGGAACAGGGAATTCTATGTAGGTGCTCGCACAGCTAAATTTGTGTACAGATGGACTGGTTTTATATTTAAACAATGCTGGAAAGACCGCTCACCTTCACATTTCCCAGATGGCAAGAGGAACATTCCATCAGGACATATGCACAAGTGCTTAACTGGTTTGTCAGGAGATGGCAAGCAAATGCTGCAGTTGGTCTTGGCACATGGGGATGAATAATCTTAAAAAAAGCATTGGAGGAAGAAGTTAAAACTTCTCTATAACCAATTTCAGAATTTATTGAATAACAATAATATACTAATTTCTTTATAGCAGTAAAAATACAATTGCAGCAGAGGACCTGACCATTAAACTGAAGTCAAACAATGGCCTCTTCTCATTTAAAGAGCTATACTGATGCCATAATTTAATCCTGGTGTTTCTTGAAGGAAACAAAAGAATCAACTACATTTATTATACCCAAGATCGAGTCAAGTACTATTCATGCACCAAACGCTTTTTTTCTTAATAGTATTTAAGTACTTGGGTCTCATTGTTAGCCCTGAGCTAGCCAGCTGAGTTGTCAATGTTTTGACTAGGCCATCATTCAGTTTCAATGCCAGTAGTTGTCCTAAGTCTCTTTTCCATTCCTTGTTCATAGAGTCTTGTCATTTCAAACTTGACAATGTATGACATTCTTTCTAGGGAAGTATTCTTTTTTGTTTGGTGTAATGATCAACTCTACACACAAAGCTCTAAGTTTACCTGGTATATTTTTTTAAAATAATTAAACCCATTTAAAAATGCTCCCTTAAATTTCCATTATACCTCATGGCAACAAGTAAACTGAAATTAAAACTGAGAAAGAACTAAACCAGTCATCAAAGATCAGTTGAAGAATAAGCATATCAGTCTTCATTTCAAGACTGGCAACTAGCATGAATAAATCATTAACAGGAATCAACGCCCAATACTGTCATTTACAAAATATCAGTTTCCTTGTGGTCTCAGCACAGGATAGAATTTGGATAGCTTGTTTCTGCTCGAAATACTCAAATGCATATAATGCTTTAATAATGAAATAAAATCTATAATGAGATCAATATACTATTAATATATTAGCCTGCCTTAACTGGGTTTGAATATTGAAAAATAAAAATGTCCATATTTAATAAAGTTCTCTATAGCTTTGCTTGAGGGAAGGAAAGGGTAAATAAGGGGAGAAATAGCCAAACTGTTTATCTAAGTTTTTCTGTTGATACCACTCAAAGTTCATCAAATGAGTATTCATCCCACAGGCAGAAGGAAACCTACCTCTAGGCTGCTGTAGTTCATGAATGGCTGACAGGATTGATACAGAAGCCTTAAAGAGGGCAGTCTTTTCCTTAGGATTGCTTTGGGGCTGTCGCCATAACTGCTTCCCATCAGTCCAGTAAAACCAGCCCTCAAACACAGCCAGCCCCAGCATTTCTCCCCTTTTGAAGAAGCCCAAGAAAGAGTAGCGCCCAGTGCCATCTACCTTCACTGTCTCAACAGACTAGATAGAACAGCAAAGAGCACAGGGAAGAAACATTCACCACAGAACAGGGAGGTCAAGCGACAAATGAAAGATGCAAGCAAAAATCAAAAACTGGTTATTTACCAGAGATTAAAGCAGTCAAATTGCAAGTCAATATAAAATAAATTAATCTCCATTGAGAGAATTGTGGTATTGCAGGTTATAACTTTGAATAATGTAACCAATTTGTTTTGAAAAGGCCTTTCAATAGAGAAGACTTTCCAACAGTTCAAAGTAATGGTCCATATTTTCCAATTCAGTGAACAGAAATGTCATTTTTGTTATATCTTGGAGACTTTGAGCAAGATTTTTTTTTAAATGTTGTAACAGGCTAAACCTCTCAGATTTTAGTTTTAATGAAGAACTTTAAAAATTGTTTTCAGTTAAATCAAAAAGAAGGGCACCAAAAACATTTGCATACATATACAGATGTTGCAATGACTGTTAAACTGCCTAAAGTTTTTTAATCACATGCTATGAGGTTTATAAATGTATTCAAATTACAATATTGTGGTACACTTCAAGGTATCAGTTATCATCTGTGCAGGACATGATGTGCTTGACTGTGGTCTGTAAGATGTCATTCACTGCAGGCACTATAGGCCGTAGGGACTCATGAGTGCAGTTTGAATGAAATTAAAGGGAACTGCCATAATTTTCATCTGAACATAACAGAAAAAGCAATGCATACACTTAACTCAATATTACTATTAAACTAGAGTTTGTTAGATAAAAAAGCATACTCTTGAAAAACAGCCATCGCTTAACTGATCAGAAACCCAGTATTAATTGGAATTAAGTGGTTATTGGGACACCAAGGCCTTGGTCAATAACAGCTACATTAGACACCAGTAACAAAAATCACTGTAAAATAAGAGCACAGTTGTACCTCTTTATAGTCACTGATCCAATAAAGCCTGCGGGAAGTATAATCACTCAACAGGCCCCTAGGATTCTGAGCTGTGATGATTGTCACCACCCTTCTGTGTGATCCATCCATTCCAGCTGCCTCGATGCTCATTTGACCATGTTCCCCTTTGTTTATCCAGAACATTGCACTTAAAAAGAATCATAGTTGTTAGTGAAGGAAGAGCTAATGTTGGTTGTGCAAATCTTATGCAAGATTTTCAAACCTTTCTGTGGGCATCAGCGCCAGCTCCAAAGGATTGATGTTCTTCTCCAAGATGGTGGCAAACTCACTGCCATCACCAGCCCCCAGCTGAATTGCCTTTTTTTTGCAGTTTGTCCAGTACAGTTGACCAGAAAGCCAATCAACTACAAGGCTACAAATCCCATCCACACCTGAAACAAATAACCCTGTCACTCATGAATTCTCAAACGTTTTGTAGTTCACAAAGAATACGAAAAGCAACTGAAGTTAAAATGTTTAATGAAAGAACTTTTTTTTGCAAAAAATGTGGCTTACATGTGTTTTGTTAGTGTGTATACATTTTACAGTCAACACATGCTGGAAAAACTCAAAAATTAAACAGAAAATCTTTGCAACCGACCTCTTTGAGGATAATCCTATAATGATTAACATTTACCTTTGTAGAGGAGTCTGCTTGATTTTTCTTCTGATTTGTAAATGTCACCTTGATCATCTGCCCAGTAAAAAGATTTCCTTGCAAGATCAAATCCTATTGCCAAAGGAAGACCTTTTGTAATGTCAAGAACATCATACTCCCCTGATGGAATGCTCAGGAATCCCAGACTTCTTTCTTTCACAGTCAGGATCAAAATGCCACTCTCTGCAAAACATCAGCCATCACAAATATCAAAACTGAGCTGCACATTTCCACCATCCTTGAAACAGCCCAAATGTACCTTTTCTCACAGTGTAGCAATGCATCTCTATGTCCATCTTAAAAAAAAAGCGGTTTTTACATGTGACCAATATGAGAAGTAGAAATCATGTGAATCATTACCCCCTTTTTGTGATTAAGGTATCTCAAAATTGAGAGCTGATTAAATCTATATTATCATTACATGTAGCTACATGACGGCAGAACTTAGGTGATTAATAAAGGGGGAGATTGATAGAATGCACAATAAATGTAAACCTAAATGGTTTTTAAACTTCAGGAACGGAATGCACCTTCAGTTCTGCAGACTACTCCTTGGTGAAGCTGGAAGCCTTTTGCACAGCTGCAAATGAAGGACCCTGGCACATTCTCACAAAACTGTGAGCAAGGCCCATATGACTCAGAGCATTCATCAATATCTGCAAAACAGACCAAATTAAATCCCACTTGATCTGAGCAATGATTAGCTTCACATCTGGGCTTTTTGATTTTAATATCCCTCTTATTATAAATGTTTGATGCTCTAATCCAAACCATCTTACAAAGGATACATTTTTCAAAGCCCTGACCATTGCTCCACACTGGTGCACTAAGGAAAGCCCAACCGCATTAAAATGAGGCTTTGACAGGTGTATTAAGTTTAAACTGAGAATATAAAACAGCTGCACTGAGAGTGGTAGCACTCACATTTTGCAGAACCTGAAAGGGCACAAAATGCAATCAACTTTAAGGGGGCTCCACATCAACCACTGAACTGTGAAACCCACCTGGGCCTGGGAGAGGCAAAGAAACCACTGTGCTCCAGCTGACCCACTACACAGCAGGTCAGATGGAAAAGTCAGAAGTTGCTTTACCAAATCAATTCTACAGGAAGCTTCTAGACACCCAGATTGTAAAAGCTCAGACTGAAAATCACGACAAGGCCTGACAACTCTTCTCTAATGAATAGTCATGGGATCTTAAATGGCTAAGAGGTCCACAGCTCACTTAAAGGTCCCCTCTACATGACAACTCAGTGTCCCTGGTCACTATACTGGGGCACTAATTTGGAATGTATGGTTCAGAAGGAAGAGAGCCAGTTGGTGACCCACCAAAGAAATTCTCAGGACTGCCCAAAATGAACTCGGTTGAACTTATGGAGACTCTTTGGAAACATCCATGGAAGCACATCCAAGTCCTTTTCCCCCATAATCAACTCTGCTACAGCCCCTAGAGGCCAAAGAATGATTCCATGCACTTACCTTCACATATAGTACCATTGCTTGAGAGCTTCCAGCCCCTTGGACATGAACACAGAGCTCCTCCTTGTGGCCCATCTGTACATGTGTGACTGCAGCCCCCATTAGCATCAGCACAGGTTTGCCCTGCTCAGAAGAGTATATATTGGGTATACAGGTTCTTTGCTTATTGGGTGTTGTGAATTTAATGACATATTTAGAGAATATAATGGATTACCCAAATTTAAGGTCTTATGAAAACTCTATAGTGGGAAAAGGTTCTTCTGCTATACCAAATGTTTGAGCCTATTTTAGGCATTATATGTATGACACCTAAGTAGGCTATTACAACAAACAGACATTAAGAAATTAACAGGTTACCACAAGTAGCTGGCTCATCCCTTCTGTCTGAGCACTGAGCTTCCCCATCACAAACTTTGTCTGCTGAGACGCACCGTCCACTGGAACACCTCATATCCATCTCTCCACAGGTCTCTGAACCAAAAAATATTCTATAACACTCCCTTATCATTTAGAGTTCCATTCACGATTGGTGATCTTGCAACAGGACACATTGATGGTACAGTAGAACATCAGTAGAAACTATAATAACTCACTTATTAAAATTCTAGTTTAAAGTTTAACAAAAGAGTCAGTTTAAAAAGATAAACATTTACACAGATCCTATATTTCATGCAGCCAGTTTTAAGCTTTTTGTGACCTGCCTTGTGAACCAACAATTATTTGAAAGCATGTATATTGCTACATACTGTAAAATAGTTGTCATATCACAAAAAGAGCTGGATTAGTAAATATGCCTCAAAGATGCTATCTTTAGACTGTAACAGAAATAGTCACTAGAAAATGTCAGAAGTAAGATATCTATTGCTTAAACAATTCGAAAACATTGAACTAAAACAATTGGAGGAATCACTGGTTACTTAACCTTTCAAGTATAGGTTTTCTTATTTTCTTGCTATATGTTTGTGTACCTACTTTGCTTTTCCATTCAGAGAGATCAAAAGTTTTCAACCTTTTTTTTTTTAAATATACTTTGTTGGATTAAGTGGTACCATTACATAAAATTCCAAATCTGGCAGTGCCATTTTCAAATAGACATTTAGCTTCCAATTCCATGCAAAACACTTATGCCAACTCACTAGGGAAGGGATGGCAAAGCCCAGTCCTGTAAAACCACAATCCAGCAGATTTTCTTGGTCACACTTTAAACAACTTGTAAGGTCTAGATTGTTAACACCCTGTAGCTCAGGGACCACAGTTAGGCATTAGACTTAAATTACCTAGTAAAAAATGTCTTAACACTTCACAAATTGATATGAAGGTGCCATATAAGATCTAATGAATTACAGGTCTCCAAGATATGAAATTTTATATTTCAAGCACAAACTACATGTGGTATAGCACACTTTTCATGTAGGCGCAGTAATATAAAATGAACTTCCACATGTCTTTGTACAGATAGCTGCCCATACAATTCTGTCTACATCTACCTTTTCACAGGATTCACTCTTTACAACCCAAGCTCGATGTTTCAGTGCTTATGCGTTACCCTGCGAGTTTAAGCCTTATAAGTTTAGTGTAAGCAACGTTTTGGAATAAGTGCTCTTAATACTGAATAAGGAGATAAACCAATGCTAAAAATACGTACCACAACCATTTTCGTCTGAGTTATCAATACAGTCATTCACACCATTGCACCGCAGTTTTTGAGGTATGCAGATTTTGTTCACGCACTCCCATTCTCCGCTGAGGCAACCTCGACTTTCCACACAGTTCAATTCATCCGAGCGGTCATCACACTGTGGCTTGCCATCACAAACTGCTGAAATATCCACGCACCCAAAACCATCTCTGCAATGGAATTCCCCATCTTTACACCCTGCTCAGGGGGAGGAAAACCCGAAAAAAAGTATATTCCACATATATTTATGTATAATGTAAAAAAAGTATACAATAAACATCAAATCATGCAGCAGAAAGATTTTACATGGAGCAATGGAGAAAAAACTGAAAAGGTTTAGAAATATAGGAGATTTCCTCTCTATCCTTTATACATGTGTAAGCTCTTGTTTATTCTAAGAGGAGCTAACCAATACTTATACTACACATCAAAGAGTGAAGGGTCTCTAACAGCATTGCAATTGACTCTTGCTGAACACTTAGTTTAAACTGGCAGCTGTAACATAATGCAATTAGAGATCTACAAAGAGATGAGTAGAAAGTTTAAAAACACAGGCTTACATGCAGATATACAGATTTTTCTAAAAACTAATAGCACATACATCCTAAAGAAAATGTAGTAAGGAAACATGAAAAAGATGGAAAAACATTAGTTTTAACACAAAGGCAGATTTTCTTAGACAAACATCCCTTGTAAATCTGTACTTAAAAACACTTCACACAATAAAACTGCAAGCAGTTCTGTTCATGCAACATTTAAGATACATACCACAATCTAGCTCATCAGAGCCATCCAAACAGTCACCCTGGCCATCACATTTCCAAGACTTGGTAATGCAAGCCCCATCATCACACTGCCACTCATCAGTGAGGCACTGCTGGCCAAAAGCCAAGTGTGGTTGCAATGCTGTAAACATTAAAAATACCATTATAGTGATATACAATTTATAATACAACTAAATATTCACAGCTTCACATATAGCACCACCACATTTACAAAACAAGCTCCAGCTATTATCTATTTTGTGGCACATAAGGACTAATGCTGCAGGACTACAAAAGTACAGCCACTTAAGATTTGAATTGAGACTTACAGACATCCATGAAGTCAAATGTAAGATTCACAAAAGGAAACTAAGGCCATCAAATAAAGATTTCTGGGATTGTACAACTTTCAATAAACAAAAACTTAATTGTAATGTTATCATTTTAATGTTATCTGTAAAGCAGAGAAACAGAGCCAGTCTTTAAGAAAAGTGACTATTCTTAACCTTATGAATTAAGTTACATAAAGATTAAACCAGCTTCTGGGTTTCAAATGCTGAGCTCAAGTGTATGTTGCACTAGTTTAACACAATTACATAAAAGCAAGCCCAAATACTAAATTTCTCAATTTACAGCAGGCTGCACAAGGTTTTCAAAATAATATTCGTGAGTTTCTTGTTGCTTAGATTCTATAGCTATCCCTTGTTTTTTTTTAACAAACATTTAACAGATTGATGTAATGATGTAACCAAATGATTCAGATCGCTGCCCAGATAGGAAATAGTGCAAAATTCACCTGTTAAACATCCAAAATTCCACCACACTGTTAACACACACAGTAAATGCTTTAGCGCCATGACCGGAGGTGAATTTCATAGCTTAGATAAAACGCGAAAGCCCTTTGATGAAAGCTTTTTATAACTTCATAACTCATCTAATTAACACGCTATACTTTTCTTTGTCAGATGTCTCCTGGGGGTGGGGTGATAACGAGGTCCGTAATGAAATTAATTTAATTAATTGCTATCAGAGCGCGGAGTTCGGTTTTGTAGCATTCACACTTTATTAATTGGGTATTTAAATGAAGACGTTACGAAATTTACAATTGGTAAATTAACTAATACAAATTTGACTTGTTAGTCATTGGAATAATTAATTTCCCCACACAGACACTGACATGCTTTTAGATAGAAAATCAAAGCTTCTGCATTGGTCTGTTTCGAAGCATTTGAGCAAAAGGCAAACACAAAAAAGACCTTGTTCCTCAATTAGAACAAAAGCTAAATATTATTCAACAATCCGAGCAGATTCTGACCAGTTTTGTTTACACTTCAACATTGTGCGCACCATGGTGAGTTGGAAACGGTTGTCAGGAAGGAGGATCAGCAGTCTGTTGAAGCAGACTATAGCTTTGCAATATTGCGTGTCTAAAACATTCTTTCATCAGTAAGTGGAACTGTATCGATTTGTATATTAAAATGTCGTCGGTGCCTTTCCAAGAATGGAACCCGAATCTTGTCAGTTTGAGGTCGCATTCGTACGGTGGTAAGAAGTGAATTTCTTACTGTATTTAATCATTTGAACACAACGTAGTCGTGAACTGACCTAGATTTTGTGCTAAATAAATATGAAAGGAGGCATAATGTGTTATTATGCATAAAAATCACGAAGCATTATTGCATTTTATTTTATAGGGTACATCTACCCTCACCTTAGCCTCTATGACCAATATCAAAATCATGGCTCAAATGACAATGATCTCAGGACTAGAGTAGCAATCTCCACTATTGAAAACATCAAACATGAGATCGAAGAAGATTCCGCGAGCAGCACCAAGAGGAGTGAGTGCGGATCTATAGATTCTGGTCAAAGATATTTTCCTACTGACTCAGCAACTCCCAAGGTGAGTGTGGCCCTGTTCTGTGTAAAATCAGATCACTGTTTTTTCCATGCGAAAAAAGTGTGTGTAAACTCACAGAATACCTACGTTTGCCTACGGCTGAATCCCAATCACCACAAGACATTGTTACTATGCTCCCGTGCATTATTTAAACAGCAACCATAACTACAAAAGTATAATAACTAGATTTTACTAATATATATTTACAGGCGTCTGTCAACTAAACACCATAGGATGTATTGATAGATATTAATTTTCTTGTATATATTGTGCATTATATGTGTGTACAGTACACACAGTATGCTTACAGAGTTGTGAAGTCTGTTTACTGCTCTATCTTTGATGATAGAAAATATAGTTTATTTCAATCGTTTTTTTTTTGTTTTCACTGTTAAACCAGGCATTTTAATTCAATTGTAAAATAACAGATTTTTTGAACCATATTTTTAACTGTTCATTTCTTATTTTATTAAAAAGCTGTAAGATTTTCTTTACATTTTTTTAGTCTTTGATACCTTGCTCAGGGTGATTTAAAAATAACGGAACAACAAAAACAAGATAAAGCCAACCAACTTCTTAAACAGTGTGTGCAGGAACATTTACTGTTCTGCTTTCTGCAGGTTACAGTTAAATAAACATAATTAGATAAATATCTGTCATCATGTTAACTGTAGAGCAGAATGGCCTATGCTAAGCCAATGGTTTATTCAAAATAGTTATAATTCAATTTTATTAAACTTATTTTTTAATCTTAAATTACAGTTTTATAATTATGCCATACAAATAGTTGGAAAATGTATTATTTAATTTTAAAAATACAATAAATTCTAAAGTGAAAAATGTATTCAATTGCTTTAACACTGTTAATTATTTACTGTTTCAATACAATTTTCCCTCGCTGTCATTAACATGATTTCCCCTCTTGTTATAATTCAATCTCAAACTCAGCTGCCATCAAAAACAGTGACACCTACTGTACAGCAAGAAAGGGAGACAAAACACACTCATTGGTTCTCTACAGAGGGTGAGACACCTGGGAAAGGCACATGGAACAGACAAGGAAGGGTCATTTATAAGATGCACAGTGGTCTTCTCCCCAATTACACTGGCTATGTTCCAGGTGAGACACATTTCCACTCGTTAACAACTAGACAGGAGTTGAGAAAAGCTCATAAAACATAGTAAGTGTTCTAACCATTAGGACAACGCTGTAGTCCAGTAAATTACTAGGACAACAAATTCCTGTCATGATTTTTAGTTTAAACTTAGCTTTCATAGATCCAGTGACATTGATTTTGAGACTTAAACACTCTACAGTTATAAAGTATGTTTCATAGAGACTGGATTCAACAATCGAGCTTTATATTTGCTTGAGTGCTGAATGGAGTTTGAATGTATCCAGTAAAAGCACAACATTACATAACATAGTAAAGTGACCTAAAATAAGTCAAATTAACACCAGAATTTAAAGGGAAGGCATATTCATTACTGGGAGGAGAAAGATACTAAGAGTGACCATTTTATTGTAAAAAATTTAAAAGAGTGGGATGGCAATGTCTTCTGAGAGCACCATAACTCTGAAGTTCAAGTGATCTTTCCTTTTGCAGGGCAGAAGTTCATCTATGGCAAAACCTGGGGAGTGAGCACTGCAAATGCTTTACATACTAAAGATCAAGTGCCTTTTCAGTGGACATCCCTTTTTTGAGTACAGCTGGGAGAACCACCCACAAAGCATGGACTAACCTATACACATCTGGGCAAATCCTTTTGCTTCAAGTTTAATTCAATTAACATTAAACATGTTCTTAATCTACCTATTTTCTATCTCTCCTTTGAAATTAAGTAAAACACTTTTCTCTTTATGTGCAGTGTGATTTCGTTCCTAAAAAGTGCACAAATAAGATAAGATGACAAAAATCCAACAAGACAAATGCAATCCTGCAAATATCAGACAAGTTTTTTTTCAATAAAGCATTTTTAAATTGAGGTTTATTCTAAGACCCAAAGTTTTGGTTATTTGCTGAAAACACAGTTCTTACATTTTTTATAGTTTTAACATTTTTACAATTTTAAAAGACAGAGATTGTAATGTTTGCAGTTTAATTTTTGACAACAGCAATCATCACTTGCTGTTGCTGTTTCTACTAACTGTATAGGAATCTAAGACAATTATATATATTTATATAAATTATTAATTATTTTATATTATACAATTTTAGATACACATTACAGAGATAAGCTATATGGAAGCCAATTTTACCCAATAAGTAGTAAATCAATGGTCAGAACCCACAGGTCTTTTGAAGTGCATTTAAAATAGGCTTCATGAGCTAGTAAATAAAGCACACTTCATAACATGCGTTCATCTTTGCAAAAAAAAACATTACAAAACCTGCTATTATTTTTGTTTAACAGTCCATTCACCATTTATCTCTATAAACGATTACTACAGTAATATAATGGGAAGAGAATCTGGGATTGCCCTCTACAGGCCTTTTTAGACCTCTACAGGCCCTGCTTCATTGCCCTTTTACAACTGCAAAATTGTTCTGAGGCAAAAAACGTTGATAAATCACCATAAAACAAATTAATGTTATAATACAAATTTGAAAAACGCAAAACGTGATCTGAAAATCAGCATAAAGTGAGTGACTTAACTTTTCCAGAAAGAACAGATTCCTTCGATTTTGCTGATGACAGAAGAGGGCATTAACATTTTACTGTGACTGTAAACGCATGGACTTTTGAAACACATGGACAGAGATCATAGCTCTAAGCGACTGTTAGGACAGTGTCTCTTTTGTTAGGTGCCCCGGTATTCAAAGGCAATCACTCCAGTTCTTCAAACGGCATCCCTGTGGGAGGTGAGGGGTCCACACTTTCAGTGTAAGACGGGTGCAAAAGATGAGACATGGGATACCGAGGACGGGAGTGGTAAGCTGGAACAGAAGCCTCTGTAGGAAAAGAAGTCCTTGCAGCGCTCTGAGGGAAACAGAAGTAAAGTACTGTATACTATAATAACAGAAATCAGTGAATCATATGGTTATTAAAAGAATCTTATAAAGTCAGAAGGGAGTACTGTGTGGAGAACAGAATTTATAGTTTTTGCTTGGTTCACTTCATCCTTTCTTGTTCTGCTGGGAGCTACCAAAATAACTGCAAGCTGAGTTTCAGTATCATCCCTAGTGGGAAAGGAACCCCAGTCCTTGCAAGCCGCTGCTTTAGTATTTCTTTTGAGCTACTCAAATTGATCCATTCAAGCCGATCTTGAGTTCCACGGTGTTATTAAGAGTTGTATTTAAAAAGAAATACCCGACACACACTCAAACAGTCATTAAAGATCAGGGCGATGAATCTATTTACAAAGATGGGATGTTCTCCACTCTACTTTCTAGATTAAAATCGTTGGTAAATCATTGGTAACAATACTTCAGCATTGAGCCAACAGAAACATCATTAAATGGTAAATGTGTATTTATAAACACAAATTTATAAACACTGCGCTAAAAAGTAGACTGCTGGTTGCAGCGACCGCAGCAGCTGTTTTGATTTTAGATAATACCACTCCCCTGTGTTGCTTTAAAAAGCACAGTATAAACAAAATTTTGCAATATACACTATAGTCTTAGTTACTGTATATATGTTAAATTCATCTACCCCATCTATCCATTTTCAAACCACTTCATCCAATTCAGGGTGGTAAGACTTTCTACTTCATGCATATATTATGTTACAGCTGTCTAGTAGATTTAAGATTTTATTACATTTTGCTTTGTTCTAACTTATCATGTTCTATGCAGGACTTGTTATTTTGACTTTTGTCACCAATTTGTGGTATAGTAGGTGTTGCCATCTTTTGTGGCGTTGCTCACCAGATCCTATAGTTGTCAGCCTTGAGTCACCTCTACAATTTGTTGCTGCTCTTCCTTTAACTTAATTGGTAGTTCTAAACCTTAGTTCTTAAGTCATGTAAACATCCTTTCCAACTTCAAAAAAAGGTACATAGAATGTCATAATTTGTATGCTCTCTATCTAAAGCTGTTGTATTATTTGTTCTAGACATTTTTCAACATACCAGAGGTGGGTATTTATAAAGCCCAGCGTTGCTCTGGCTGATCGGAGCAGAGTTCTGTAAATCCGCATCTCTGGCATTCACGATGCGCAAGAAGAGCTCAGCATTATCAAGCTACAGGGAGAAAGGAAAGAAGACTAATGATTGTGCTTTAGAAATACAGTTTGATGTAATGCCATTTCTCTGAAGTGGAATAAACAAAACTCTCTTGGAAATACCATGCATATTTCATATTAGCAATCCAGCTGTTAAAACGTAACAGCGCAAATGCACACTGATGTTCTGGATTTGTCACTGTTAGAAGATGTTTCCTTCATTAGATAAGTATTAACTCAGTATGCAGACTGTAAATTTAATTAAAAATGTGAAAAAAATACAAAAATCTTTTGGCTAACAGCCAAATAGACGTAAAGAAATTACATAACACTACTTCTACTGAATTTCATTAACCAATAAAAACTATATAACTTGATATGTGAGTCAAACTGTGCTGCAAAAATAGAAACTACTTTGTTTGCCGGTGTCTTTTAAGCCTACTTTTCAGATGGAACAATTCCCTGTTCTCTTGAGGCCTTTCGAGTTCCTACTGCTGCTAAAATTAGTATCATGCGCCGAAATGTGTTAGTGAGTGTCGTTTAACAGCAGCCCATTCAAAGTAATTTTGAAAAGCTTTATACAATTTGGCAGTTTCTCCCAAGCCTTGAAAACATCAAATCATTAAAGAAGTGGTACACCTATTTAGAAGTAGAAAATGAAAGCGTTATTAATATAATACAATATAAAAAACTAAACCTGATTTCACCCTGCTCCCATAGAGAATACAAATAAGTTTTGCATTAATTAAAAGAGGTAATTTTAGACAAGCCTGAGGTGCATTCACTGGCCTCTGAAACTAATTCAGCCAGCTGGCAATGTTCTTAATTTGTAATCTCCATAAATCCTTAAATTAATGGATTTAGACATGAAAGTGGGAGAAAGGAAGACCTTCTATTTATGGTATAATCTCAAGCCTAGGTGTATAGTAGAAGTCATTAACCCCTTCGCTTCCAGAATTATGTGCTTATACCACCCCACCAATCCCTTCCTCATAATGGCCAATTCTTCATTTTTTTCTGGTCAGATCCTGACCACCCTGTCCAGAATATAGATATTGATGTTTCAGCCAAAGAAAGCCAGAAAATACCTGCATACCAACAAATAACTAACACAAATCATTAACTCTCTCATTATTAATGAATTTATTTATTTATTTGGCTGATGCTTTTGACCAAAGATTTAACCTAACTGGGCAGTCCTCTGGATCAATTTGGGTGAAGTACAGTATCTGAGCAGTGCCTCACCAGGGTTTTGAGCCCACAATCTCCTGGTTCCCAGTCAACCCACTAAGCCACATGATGCCTTGGTAAACATTAAAAATGATGTATTGATTCACCAAAATATCAGAACTCCCATGCTGAGTCTCTGCAAGCAGTCAGAAAAGCCTGAATGTGATGTGGCATGCATTCTACAAGTTTTAGAAAACATCTGTAGACCTGTCCTGTATTTTAGAAGGATAGCCTTTAGCTGAGGGCTTTGGTGATAAAGCTAATGGCTTGTGTAACTGAACTACACATACCACTGCTTTAATTGAGATTCTGAAATTGTTCTGGTGAAGTAAGGAACTCAATCTACTCAATCTAGCTCTCTATTATGTGCTGCTGAGCAGGCAGACAAATTGACTGGGGGTTCCTTATATTAAGGCTTTGCATAAATACAATACATGAATATTTCTATTTCTGGCATTGGAGCATTTCAGGAAAATAAAAATAAAGTGAATGGAAATGACGGATCTCTTCTGACGCACATAGACGGGTTACCTGAGCAACTCCATTCATTTCCCCTGTAGTCAGGGATGGCTTCACTGGGAGAATTCGGATAGGCACTTTCCACCTCCCACTGATTACTCGATTGTGAGTGTCAAAAATGTCAACCTTTACCCAGCCTCTTGATATGAGGTGGTTCACTTCCTGTCCATAAGGGTCATATCCCCCTGAGGCCTGTAACTCCAGGGTTAGAGAGATAGTAGGAGAGGGCCGTACTCTAGAAAGAAAAAAATATATATAACTGCTCACTTTGGCACAATCATGGCTATTGTACTGTCTTACAGTTCATATATATATAGAGTATCTAAAAGGCTTTAAAAGTACATTTGATACAATACGAAAACATTATGAGTTTACTTTTAATAAAATGTAAAGTATGTAAAAAGTTTAGTCCTAATGTGCGTAAGAGAAACACATTTTGAAGAAGATGATCCTGGTGACTTATTAGGCAGTTAGCTCTGCTGCCTCACAGCTTTTCCGGTCCCTGTGTTTGTGTGGATTTTCAGGTTACTGGTGTCTCTAAATTGTCCCAGTTTGTGTGAGTGGGATCTGTGATGGACTGGAATTCTGTTTAAGGTTTGGTTCCACTTTGTGCCCTGTGCTTCAAGGCTGTCAGCTGTTGGACTTACCAGAACTTCACCTTACCTAGGTACAGCCTGTTTTATTGCAAGCATTGCCAGGTTCCCCTTCCTGTTATCAGGGTGATATAGAGACAGGCTGGTGGGCTCACAGTAGACAGGAGGCAGTGAAGATGGGTTGCCCATTTCCTGTGGCCCATTGTACAACCCCACCACCAAGCGGCAGATTCGATAGAATGGATCCAGACCCAAGAGGAAATCATAAAACACAACAAAGCCAGCTCTGCAAAGAATCACACACAAGAGCTTGCTAAACTCTCAGGGTTCACAGTTCAGTATTGACATCTGGCCTCTTATGCTTCGTGTGGTAAAGTTTTATTTTTTAAAAATCCTAAATACGCCTTAACGGAAAATGCAAAATGGGTGTGCACACCACTTTCTTTATCAAGAGGTACAACCATGTTTTAAGTGTTTGACTGTCATTAGATTCAACATACTGTACAGTGGCCATTCACATATTACGACACATTATACAATATGTAGCTCCTGAGCTCCAATTAGCTCCTGTTAATTGGTTTTGCTAGGCTTTTAAGAAACAACAAGCAGTTTAAATGTTTTTTACTAAAACAAAAGCACATTGTTATATGAGAGGGGAGGCAGCAGAATTAGAGATTGAACAGAAGTTAAAGCAGTTAAGTTTAAATCTTTTTTAGAGTAATTATTTTTTATCAGTCAGTCACAGCACCAGCTTCAGTACAAGCAATTTATGAAAGCTAACATCTGGGAATACCATGCAAGGCTGTTTAATTTTCTGTGAAATTTGGTAGTAGAAAATGTAACTTGAAAGACAAATACTTAGCAAATAAGCACAAAACACAGAAATAGAAGAGTCCATCTCCTTATTTCCAGCCTTCTTCACTACATCCCTAAAATCAACTCCCCAAATCACTTTAATCCAAACTAATCATCCAGAGGTGTCCATTAAACTAAGCTGTCCACTAAACTGATGCTAAAAAAGACAACCTATTGTCCCTAACAAAAAGGCACCCAAATTTACATGGGTAACAAACTCTGCCTGAAAGATTTAAAAACTGAAATGTAACCACCAATATGAAAACATGTCATCTGTTTTTCCTAAAGTTAGCCTAAAACCTTTCAGTGGACAATACTTGATTCTATTCAGTGAGGGGGACAACTATGGTGAAGATGGCTTTGCTTCTCCCTATCTGCTGTATACTTAATCTATATTCTTTGTCTTTTAAGCAAACAACATGGTCACCTGAGCTGCTGATCATCCTCTGCAAATTTCCAGCCAGTTAAGTTGTCCATCCATGTGGTCTCATGCAGTCTTCCGAAACCCTTGTATATTTAGGTAGTTTTATGGAGCAATATAACTTCTCATTTTAATCAAGAATAACATTTTGCAAAGGGTATATACGAATTTGAAGAGGCTAGAATACATTTTGAGTATTCCAAAAAGTAAGTACACGGCACTACAGTCTTAAACCAATCAGCTTCCTTGCCTTGCTTTGAGTAATGAATCTGAATTACATATAATAAACTTTTAACAGACAAAGAAACACAAAGCAATGTTTTCTGTCACTGCACAAATAACAATTGTAATGTCTTATGAAAGACAACACTGACTTACACTGGGTCGTAAGGAGCAGGTCCTAAATCATTAGCTTCTAAGTAATGTTTTACAAGGGCTGGTGTCTGCAATCTCACATCCTCCTAAATAAATACATAAACATCCAAATAATCACATTTTAATAGTGTATGATCCGGTCACAAAATATATTGGCAATTTTTTAGGTACAGTAGCTGTACATGAAGAAATACGTTAAAGAAATCCTATTTCTATTTTAGTGCAGAAATTAAAAAAGTATGTCACATTTTAAAGATATAAATACTTTTTGGAGCTAGCTTCTACTTCTGTATTGTGTTTTTTGTCTGTTATGTACAGCATTAGTTATATTAGTTTCTATCCCATCTGTTTCCAGTGGCTTTTGATACATGTCTGTGCACCTAGTGTACAAAAACCAATGGAAGTTCTTGTACACGCTGTACATACAGATTTCGGTATATTAAAATCAGCAGCCTTGACACAGAGATTACAGTGTGCATGTCACACAATAGCTTGCACAAATGTGAGTATACACAATGTGGTATTCTTACCACATTCTCTGCAATTTCCCTCACGGGATCAATAAAGTATCTATCTATCTTACCTCATGCATCACGCTAGGCCCTGGCACAGACAGGTCTGTCAGCATTGATATTTACACCACAAGCACTGAAGTACTGAGGGAAAATTAAAGAGTACCATAACCTAATACACAATTGTATTTGCACGTGGAGGAGAGGATATCTGTAGCCATACCAGTGGAGGGAGAGGAGAAAGAGATATCCGCTCTTCTGGTGCCTGCACTGTTGCAGGCTTCACCTTGCGCCTGAGCCGATGTATCTCAATCTGCTGCTTCAGGAGGTCAATATCTGCTTTCAGAGCCTTTATTTTCTGGTCACCAGGTCTGTCTGTCAGTAGTCATTATTAAAGGCTTACCAGAAACTGCATTAAAAAAATCTAAATCTAATATATTAAAAAGTATAGATTTAAAATATATAAAACCTAACATATTACATAGCTTGGATAGTATAAAATGATATATAACAACAGCTATATTACAACATATTCACATTCCAGGCTCCTGCTCCCTAGCATTTCTGTATTGGATAAAACAGTTAGAAAATGGATAGATGGAAACTGAAATTCCTGCAGTGAAACCAGTAGGTTTTAAGAATATAATATGGGCTCTATATTGTGTGAAAACCACTTATTCCTGGGAAGGGTCGCAGTAACCTAGAGTCTCCACAAAGCACAATGTACAAGGCAGGACTACACTCTGGATGGGATGCCAGTCTATTACAGGACATATACTGTACACCTACATTTTAGAAATACCAATAAATGTAGCCTGCATATCTTAGGAATGTTATTTGAGCAAACTATGGCACTCACAGAAAATCCATATGATTGTCTAGATTTGAACACAGGAAACAAGAGGCAATAATGCTGATCACCATGCCACTGTGCATCCTATTAATACAATCTATATTTATTCTTGCTTAGACCTATTATCTAATTTGTAGGCAGTGACTTTCAAGAAGCAGCTTGAAGAGGCTGAAAAGTTGCTTCCCATTTGTATCTTCTTATGCTTTTCTTAATATTTACTGCAATTAATTCACAATCATAATTTTATACTGTTTTAAGGTTCCATGCCTTTTGAATAGCTGTTTCATTTTTCATAAAAAGTCACATGTTCTTGTCTAGAATGGAGAAAGAATCTCTTCTGGTGAAAAAAAATGTTTAACTTATGGCAAGGAATGCTTTCTAGGTTTAATGCTTAGCATAACTCCTTTATTGTTAATTTAAGTGATTAGGACCATATTAACATACCAGGCTTTATGTGAAATACAAGCTGGTTGTGAGAGGACTCGGTTATGAGGAATTGTGCACTTCTTTTGTTGAGGGACTGCAAATAAAATAAACAAAATGTGAGCTTACATTTGTGTGGGGCTCTTAGCTGCCTGGGATCCCTTCTCCTTTTCATTTGAAGTTTCATAAAATCTTCTTCCAGACGCTGATTTTCTATCTCTACAGCAATGAGGTCCCTGTTCAGATGACGCCTGATTGAATCATACTCCCCTGTAGTTTGAAACAGGTAAAGAAGCCATTACCTTCCAAGGCTTGGAGTCCTTTCTGCATCATGTTATGCCTTACCTTTTAATTTCTTACCTTTTCTCAATTATCTGATGTCTAAAGCATATGTTCGCTACAGACATGAGAGTTTCCATTGAGATTTATCCTGCATGAGTATTATAGTGAATTTTGGTACTTTAAAAATAGTGCAACGCATGTGTTTCTCTAGTCTTTATTTATAACTGACAGCACAATATTCTTGAATATTGACATCTCAAAAGCTACTGCACTTTACTCAAGAAGGGCAAACAAAAATATTGCCCAGGTTCATTTGAAGCAATGCTATCCAATGGTGCATTTATTCTTATATATTTTTAAAGTCTCATTTACACTTGTAACAGGAGAATGCCAAAATTTCCGTCAGCTACAATAAGAGAGGAAACATTTGTCAAACAGTGAAAAGTGAAGAAACAAAATTGCAGGTACTTTGTTTAAACATTGCAGGTACTTTGTTTAAACATTGGGTAAACAATACATGAACAGTTATGTACACTTCAGGAGTCCCACTATCTCTCCCTTACAGTGGAGGCAAAGTCAGAGAGAACTCACTCTTATGGCTGTTTATTTCACTGGGATGTATGTGTTTTCCCTGTTGTTCCACCTGCAGTGCTTCATTCAGTAGATCATGCAGCTGGGCTAAGATCAATTGATCGTTCCCACCGTTCTGCAGATAGGTCAGCCGTAGAGCACTGAGAAATTAGAGAATGCACAGGGAGCTAAAGCAATGCTTTCTTGGAATTAAACGATTGTTATCCGAGAATAATAACATGCCACCTGTGTAAACAGAAAAAAAGGAATGAAATCTAAATAAAAGATTGTGACTTATCTAATAAAACTCTCATGTCACCACCACTGTATGGTTTCACTGTCTGTCAGCTCATGACTTTCATACTGCTAAACACATTTTAAGAACATCATAAACATAGGTCACAATTTGTTCAGCACATCTTTTTCCTGTGATGAGTTTAATGATTTATTTGTGAACCAGTGCTATTGCAGTTACATATGCTAGACTGAAGGCGAAATCAAGCAAAAGGGTACACGGAGATAAACAAAGCTTATGACTGCTGCCATAACCAAACAGACTAATTTACACTTAAACATTTTTTTAGCTTTTTTTTTCTATTTTGTGCCTATCCCATTAATCGATTCAGTGCTGTTGACAGTATTCAGTATAATAATTTAGTACTAAAAATTGCAATGTCAGTTATGTTAGTCTGTATCAGTGTGTTTGAAACACAAAAGCAAACCTCATGATCCATCATGAAAGCCGCTAAACCTCAGTGTTACAATAGTGACAACTTGGGGGTGCTGTAGCCACCAGTACATCAACAGACCAGCACAAGACAAGGAGATTCAACACTGGAAATGTTATCCTAAAATGTAAGCCATAATGACGAGGGGGTAAACACAGCCTGCTTAAACAGTAAAAGAGTACTGTAACAGTACAAAACAGTAAAAGCCTAAAAATCCTTACTGCTCAAAAGGAGTATCTGACCTTTGCTATCAGGGTGGGTCTACAAGCTAGAAGGTTAGGAGTAGAGAGTCAAAAAAAGGAAGTAAAATAATATATCTACAAAAATAAAAAAGCACACAAAAAATGAGCATAGAAAAGTTCCAATAGTCAATATTTGGAAGAAGAGAAAAATGATAAATCTGCACAACCCAGCGTCTGCAATGGCTGGGATATTCTACGAAAATCCTCCAGGGGGCCCCAGTTTGTTTCAGTGAGAAAGACACGGCTAGCTTTCCTTCAATTACTGATAGACCCACACCAGAGGGTTTCTCTGTGCTGCTGCCCTCTGTGTTTCTGAAGAGTGGTCTGCTTCTTATCAGAAGAAGAAGGAAAAGAAAGAAAACAGCCCCAGCAGAAAGTAAATGATTCACAATCAGTTCTCAACTACTCCAGGCCCAGCATTTCATCCCATCCCAAGCAGACAACTGTCATGTGGAATAGGAAGTCAAAGACAGTTGAAGGGTGTCTCTGAGCTTTCTTCTTCAATGTGGCAGTTGTTGGGCCGAGCTGATTCAGCAAAGTGGGGCGTGTTGAGATTTTTTGGGGGGGAATATGGCAAGTAACAGAGAGGGACAGAACTGTGTGGCGTGGAAGGTGTAGCCCTTGAAACCTTTCCTGGTGACTGGAGACTATGGGATTAATTTGAATTTGTGTGTGTCTTTTGCAGATACTTATTTTTTCTTGTTTTTTTTTTCCTAGAGTAAGCTGTGGTAACTTATTGTAAGAGAATATGCAATTATGTAAAAAAAAATACTGTACAGTACTAGTTAGCTTTCTTTGCTTTCGTCGCCTCTTTCCTCTGCTCTTTAGGACCAATTTCCACTGCCGAGCCCACAAGAAAAATAAAAGGAAATCACATCCCAGCACATTATCTCAGTTGCAAATGCCTTCCTTTGGTAATGTTCCATTCAACTAGTCTTGCCCCCCTGGCCATCCACAACAGAGACATTGGTGGGAGGAGGAAGAGACTTCTTTACCTGCACAAGTAAGGCAACTGGAGACTGTCCAGGTGATCACAGAAGCAAGCCAGGCATAAGACTTTTTGAGTATCATGTTGGCATGCAGATTTCCAGCTGGTGTGGAGCTTGGTTTTTTCTTTCTCTCTGTTTTTTTTTCCGCCACTCTGTTCTAGGGCCAGTCCCCACGGGCTCTACAACTTCACACACCTCACGTGTCACCTCTTACCACACGGTAATTAGTGCCATTCCATTCCAGGTAGACAGCTGTCTGCTGTATTGTTTCCGCAAATGTGGCAGGAATAGCTTTTAAAAGGAAAGGCAAGTGGGCACAAAAGAGAAAGAGAAAAGAAAAAAGGACACCACACCCTACCAAAGACGCTGGCTGTTATACGCAAGTACCCCCAAGCTGTTGCCCTGCTTCCACCTCTGTCACCCTGTGACATTCAGGTGCAAATGGAGTTTCTCCAACAAAAGTGTCACGATCTCTGGAATGCCCACTCAGTGATGACTTTCTATGCATGAGTTAAAAAACATGCTAATATTAGAGCACAGCATTAACTTTAACACAGAGCCCAATGTGTGCACACCCAACAACACTTAAAAAGAAAAAAATGCAGCTGAAAAGACATTTTATTTTGCAGGTTAGCTCAACCTGACATCCTTTTGCAACTGTGTTTCAAGGATTGTGCATGAGAATATGTATAAGCTTCATGAATGATGGGAAAAATTGAGGATTCTTCTAAACCAAGACAAACACAAGCCTTTTTCATGTCAGTTTAAGTAAAATGATTTTTGGTTGGCAAAGTTCTGTTGATTAAATTCATTTAATTAAAAAATAATAATGCTGCAAAAGCTTATACAGAAAATTTTCCTTCAGAACCAGTAAACCTGCTTTTGAGGTTGTTTCTTATTTGTCCTTTGGTTATTCTTTTTTTCATCATTAAAAAATGGGTTACTGTTCTTTGGAGTTTGTTCATTCTACAGTATATTTGAATTGAATTTCCTCTGTTGATAAATAAACCCTTGTGTCCTCTTCAAGATCATTGGTTAACTTACTGAACTGCCCCTTTTTTGGTTTCTCTAAGGTCCCAAAGCATTATAAAAGTGAGCTATGGTAAGAAAATGGAAAAAACAACTATATTGTATGAAGATGCACAGTATTGAACCTGCATCATGCTTTTGCGTGTTTATCAAGTTGATGCTCTATATTTTATACTTTCACTTTGCTTTTCTCTGGCTTTACTGTGTGTTAATTTTGCTTTAGTATGCTATACAATGAAAACAATATAAATGATCACTGTAAAGGCTGATAAGATTTGTGTACTATAACCCTTAAGAAAATTCTAAATATGCTGAAATCATTGCATTGCCATGGTATAATTCAGGAAAATGTGGTGAAATAAAAGGTAGACTACATTCCAAATTCTGTAACGATGCAAAAAGGCATATGAAAAAGACCAACCATTCAAAATCAGCCATGGCGAACTTTGAGAAAAGAAACTTCTGAATCTGGTTATTAAGAGAGATTGTCTTGTGGCCTGCTCAGGCAGGATGTGATGCTGGGGAAATACCACACACCTAATTTCTGAAGACAGCGCACCTCCTCCATAGAATGGGATGTAGGTATGGGAATGAGTTTTGTCACTTTCCTTTTTCTTGAAGGTATAGAGGCGTGAATCACTGTGCCTGCTTTCAGTTTTGTTCCTCCTGCAGTGAAAATAACAAGTCAAATGGTCAACATCCTTGTTGCTTCTGCTACCCTCAAGATATTCACAGGGCTTATCTTCCATTTCCTGCTCAACACATCAACACATTACTTCACATTGTAGTCAATTTAAATGTCAAGAGCCCAGTCAGTTACAGTCATGCACAATATGCGTGGAGGAAGAAGGTTGTTAATGAAAATATTTTTCCTGTTCAGAAAAAGCCCATCTCCAGAAAAAAAGACGCGCTTAACACGCAGCTATTTTTAGTTGTACTCATTGCTATTTTTAAGTAAATCAGAAAAAGAACTTTTTAAAATTCTTAATTATACAAATTTTATTTAAACATTGAAATTAAACATGAAATTAGCCAGAGCATAATTATTATATATTATTATATTATATAAAGAATCAGGCTTAATGTAACTGTAAGACTGCAACAGCACAGAATACAAAAACAATCACAGGGAAAGATAAGGAGATAACTTCCGGGAACTACAGCAAAACACAAATATGTAAATTAAACTCATAGAAAGAAAAGACGCTTTAAAAATCAACATACATTGATTCCATTTGAAGAAACTGGAGCTGTTCCCTCAAGGTCTCCAGTAGAAGGGAATTTTTTTGCTCTTGAGCTTTTAGTTCTTCTAGCATTTTCTTCAGCTGTGACATGTTCTTTGTTTGTTCAGACAGCTCCTGTAATTGTGAGTCAATTTCTACAAAAACAAATCAACAATTTACAAACATACTTTTTGTAGAACTTCAAAATTAAATATTCCCTGAAAAGTCTGAAACTTGTCAATTCAGTGTATATCATAGTCACAGCCTGTTGGAAAGAATATCTGATTAAAAAACTTACTATTGATATCATATGTACATGTATATTTCAAGAAATAATTTTTGCAAAAGATTGTTGGAGAAGCCAGTAATTATGTTGGTATGTTTAAAAATAGAACTTCACGTGATATGTCTTTAGTTTATATTAGAAGTGATTGCAATCTACTGGCATCTTTAATTAGATGTCAGTGCACTTTGCAAAATGATTTCAGTAATCCAAAACCATAAGGGCATATTACATTAGACAAGATGCCTTGAACTGAGTCTCATACATTATGTGAAATTCAAACCACCAAAGATCTTCCCAGTTATGTCTCCCGGGGACTCCAATCTAAAATGCGGCTCGTTTCCTTGTCTCTGATTTATCCTGACCAGCTGAAAAACTGTGGGACTAGTTACAGTAGTTCAATTATGCATCACTTAGGAGTCCTTAATCTTTTTCCATGGATCTTAAACTGTTAATTATCCTTAACTAATGTCAGGTCAGGCCTTTAGGTACAAGCCATTGTAAAGAGTCATGTCTGAAAGCCCAGTGCAGAGACCAAGCAATAATGAAGAGACACAAAACACCACACAGGAAGACCCAGTATGGAACATGACCCCACAGAGAGGTCTTGCTAGGAACTACTAAGATGTTGCTAGATTAATCTGCTAAAATCAAATATATTTTGTCACTGAAAATATTTATTGCACCAATCTTAATCTTGCACTAATGATATTAATTACCTTTTCGTTGTTTTTCTAGTACTCTGTTCTTGTTAGCAATCTCAGTCACATGTTTCCCATGACTCTCTGCCAGTTGCCTCACCTGGGTGTCATGTTCGTGCATCCACAGGGCCCTGGAGCTTTGGCCTGTCTGCAAAGAGAAAGTCCATGGAAAACAGCAATAATGAGAAGCAGAAAGGGAGGGCCAGTTTACTGAATTCTGCATTCTTCCAACATCTTGTTATTTTGTGCCAATTTATGCCAAGGCTTGGCTTATCCCTTTTCATGAAAGTCACTAAGCATGCATGGGACGGTCTTTGATCATGCCCTCATAATAAACAGGCCTGAATTAATTTGGGCTATGTTAAATTCCTGATTAAGATACACAGATTCAGTCCATCAACCAGCCAATCAACACATCAAAGAAGTCAGACAAGATATAAGGAAAGAAGGAAGAAGCACTGAACTTACTGGTTCACTGGTGGATTTCATGGTGTGTGTGACTTCCTGAACCTCAGGGCCTGAGCTCGTTGTTCTGTTTTCCATCTCGCGAAGTAACTGCCTCTCGCGCACCTCATGCTGTTTTCGCAGCTCCTCACGTCTCTTCTTATAATCCTTCACTCTTTCGATCTAAAATGAGAGCTGAACATTGTAGACCTCCGTCGCATCACAGTGACCACTTGAACAAAGGGATTGTTCTTGAACAGTAAAGATAGAATCAGAGAAGACACACAAACTCAAATCTGTGTAGGTCCAAGTGGGACAAGCCTCCTTCTTCCTGTAATGTCATCCACCAAAACCAATAGAGTATATAAGCTGAATTCCTACCTGACAGATACAGCATGAGGATACTGTAGCAACCGCAAGTGTTTCAACATAAAAAAGATAACTGGAATGACAACTGGTTGTCTCTAGACATGTGACTATAAACTGTCTATATGACTATAAATTAATCTTCTTCCTTGGGTGCCTCAAACTCTGAGTGGCCTCTTTATTACAAGTGCCATTCAAAGGACAACACAAAGTTGAGTCCATAGCTGTCCATAGCACTTGTTTTCTGCATTTTCATCTTACTTCAGTCCTGCATGTTGCACAAAGCCAAAGATTGGTGGTTTTGCTTTCTCTATTTTATGATAGCTGTTATGTCTAGAAGTGTCAAAGTAGGAAATTTTAGTATGCTACGATCTTGTACACACATATTCACAAAGAGAAACTCAAATTAACGTTCCAATAATGTATAAATAAAAATGAATAAGCAAATATCTTTATTCTGCAGTATTATGTCTCATTACTGCTTTAAATTGTGTTGAAGAATATGGTGTTTTTTCCTTCAGGAATATTAAGAACCGGTAACAGAAATGTAATCATTTTCCCACACAGGTGGAACAAACGCAATTTATATGTTATAATAATTTTATAATATATTTTATTTCGGTTGCCAAATGTGTATTTAAGACAATTTTACGGTATAAACTAATATCTGACCGCATTTCAGTTTTATTACAATGGCATTGCACCGATGATTTAGCCTATACCCACTGTAATGGAGTATTAAAATCGATGTATCGCTATTCCGAAAGTAAATTTATACAATTAATAAGCCAATACCATATCTTCAGGAGTCTGCGTTTTTCTGGTTTTGCCAATATCTCCTCCAATGCAGAACTTTTCTTTATGCTTCCCGAGCAAAAGCGCAGATTTGAAAGACATGTTGCAGTTTGAACAGTTGAAAAAGTCCGTCATTGCTATGTTCGAATCCCCAGAAATAAACAAAAGCGTGTCTTCGTGTCTTTTTAGCTTCACATTAGTTCTAAATAATCTCCGTTTTTAGGTTAACTGCGTGTTGTTAAAGTAAACAGGTATTTCTTCAGTTCGTTCCCTGCGGCGACCCACCCCCGTCTCACAGTTAGCCTAACAAACACAGAGCTCTGAAGCTGGTTAGTAACGGAGGCGTTGTATATAAACACAAATAGCACACCACCCAGAGATGACAGCACATCCCGAAGGAAAAAAAGGAACGCGTATTTAATAATAATTGTATTTGTCATGTGTTTTGTATATAGTTTTCATGCATAAAGTTCTGGAAAATCAGATATTAAATAACACAAATACATTAGAAAAAAAGTTATGAATTTGGCCATCTTTAAATTTAAGGGTAATTCAAGATGAAGCGCCTTAAGGGGTGTGGTAAAAAGCGCTATACGAAGATACAGATTATTATTGTCTTTTTTATTTTGGAATATCTTTATGGCAGGTCGGTGATATTCAGGGCTCTAATACTGGTGGCGTGGATATGGACAACCCTATTTTGTATCCGGAACGTTTAACAAAGACACAGACTTGACACGTTAAAACACAGTATGACAAGTAGTTACACGGTGTGATTTGTTATTGCGCCCCTAGAGATCATAAGGACTAAGAGAAATGAAGTAATCAATATATACTGTACAAACTGTATATCAATATATACTGTACAAACAAAAACATATGTAAATTCGAATTCCATAGTGAGGATATTTCCTAAATGAATATATAAGACTTGCTCACCTAAAAAAGAAAGATACGTCTTTTACTGAAGAAACACATTCAAATGTCAATTGTTATATGCAGCACCCTGAGCCCAAAAAGAAAAAATCGCGACTACTTTTCAATAATACCTTTGGCTGCTAGGACCCCCAAATTTCACTTAACAAAAATAGAAAACCAGTGGCCAATACAAATACAAAAAAGGGTTTCTTTATTGTCTTCCCGCGCTACGTTTCATGTGCATGGGAGTGCAGGTGTTTTTTCTTTATCTCACGCTGTCGATCCTGTACTCGATGATTCCACATTGCTCAGAAGAATCTGAGCGGAAAATCGTGAACCGGGCTGGTTCTTGCTGTCCCGCTTCAGTGATGTCTCCGATATCTGACCGGTATATTCTCACTGGGGGTCATGTTGTTGCCATCATCCTTCGAGCCTCTGATTTGACCCCTTTTCCGCGATCCTTACCTCCCGAGAGAAAGGCGATTACTAAGATAACCACGAGAACATTTCAATGTCTTGAGTCCTAGGTCTCAACCCCATGCAAGTCCAAGTCAAACAGAAAATCGCAGAACTTCCGTGTGAATGGTTTCAACGAGGCATTTGACAACGCATCTTCAGCAAACATCAGCCTTGCTAAAACTGCGGTGTCTTCCAACAAGCTCTGTTTCCACTCATGCAGCAAATCGGTTCATAATTGTGCGGTTACGTTGCCATTTCTTACAAATCTCCTGCACTGAAAGAAAAAAAAATGTACTATTTACATCATGTATTGTTAAATGTTAAGGATAAACAGATTTCACACTTTACAAGCAGACACACTTAATGTAAATTAAAAATAAAGTAATTTAAACTTTAATTGAACTGACTTTCTCTGATGGACACATTTTATGTCTGGGAGGACACTGGACCTCCTCTGCTCTGGACAGTCCTGTGTGAATCATACTTTGCCTCGGAAAATTAGCAACGACCACAGAAAGGTACTAACACTATTATAATTAATGATATTGGGCTTCATTTAGCTGTGTGAGCGATGTTGATATACATTATGCATATACCTATAAAGTACTTGTTACATATATCGCACATTAATATAGTGTTTACTGTAAGTACTGTAGAATCTTTATGGCACTGTTTAAAATAATTTTGAAGGATTTCAAAACAACTCTTATAACAACTTTATAGAACAAATATTTCCAAGTCAATTAAATAAACTAAAAGATTTAGGAACATAAATTAAAGATAAAAGTCCAATAATCAGATAAATATTCAGAGAAAATTAAAGAGAAATCCAATACATTTTATAAAACAGATTCAAGCAAAGGCAAATGATTGCATGCTGTGGTACACGTCATAAATCCTGCATGTTTTATTCCCAACAGTAATCTTTAAAACAATAGCAAAACCACAACCGTTCTTCTTATTCCCCTCAAAAACTAACCATTGAGATTTTATACAAGTCTTAATTACACATGGATGTTGCCTCTAAGGCAGATGACATTCCACATGCTAACCAGTAATAAGATGTTTACCATAAGGCCAAAATTAATTTTCAGATAAAGACGCATAATGGCGCCATCTGGTGTTCAGCATCGGCATTAACGCAGTTTGCAACTGTTTCCAACTCGGTACAACGAAACACGAAAAAGCACCTAAGCCCCAAAACTTAATTTTTGATCATCTCTGATCTACCAACTATATACCTTCTGTATGCTTGAAAGTCCTTGTTACAGAAGTGGTCACAGGCAACTCTTTACAGGTCTTTTTCCTGACATACCGAAAGTATATCTAACAACTACAAAGCCTATGAAATATAACTAAGGATGAAAATAATAATACTAATAATTGCTTACTATACCGCTTTTCTGGACATTCCACTCAAAGCGCTTTACAGGTAATGGGGATTCCCCTCCACCACCACCAATGTGCAGCATCCACCTGGATGATGCGGCGGCAGCCATAGTGCGCCAGAACACTCCCCACACATCAGCTATCAATGGGGAGGAGAGCAGAGTAATGAAGCCTATTTATAGATGGGGATTGGTAAGGGCGAATGGGAACTCTGGCCAGGACACCGGGGTTATACCCCTACTCTTTTCAAGAAACACCCTGGGATTTTTAATGACTACAAAGAGTCAAGACCTTGGTTTTACCTCTCATCTGAAGGACAGCACCTTTTTTACAGTATAGTGTCCCCGTCACTACACTGGGGCATTAGGACCCACACAGACTGCAGGGTGAGTGTCCCTACTAGCCCCACTAACACCTCTTCCGAGCAGCAATCTTAGTTTTTCCCAGGAGGTCTCCCATCCAGGTACTAACCAGGTTCACACCTGCTCAGCTTCAGTGGGTTGCCAGTTGTGAGTCACAGGGTGATACGGCTGCTGACAGTATACTACTGACTGAATAAAACACATATCACACAGGATATTTGGAAACCGGAACTAGAGAGCCGTAGAAAATATGAAAAAATGTTTCACATATCCTTATGTTTTAATTAACTGTTTTAATTAAGAAATGAATGGATCAATACTTACAAGATGACACGTGCCTTGAGGAGGAATTAGTGCCTATGGATAACAACAAAAACACTCACCACTGGCTGTGTCACATTCAGGTTTAACACCACGTGTCTCTGGGATAGCTGTTGTAATGATTGAATTGATCAATAGGATCCTGAAATGTTTGGCCTGATATTGTGGATACTGTTTATATATAACTGATCTTATACAGAATTAGGGACATCCTTCTTCACCCTATACATTTTAACAAGGAGGCTGATAATAAGTCACTGTCCCAGTAAAATTAAAGTGGACCCCGACTTAGAATTTTCCTTATCAAAAAACTTTTGAGTGGTCAAATCTAAATGTGCATTTTGAGGCTGTAAGCTGGAAGGCATGCAGTACCATCAGCAGTTTGAGCTCATGGTGCCATTGTCACCACAGAGACACCCTAAGCTTTGACTTCCCTCAAAGGCCACATTCCAGAATGTTACATGAACCTCTTTTAAACCAGCTACTGTTCTGAAGACCCAGGAAAAGTGTTCAATTATCTCAATGGGCTTAGAGATCAGGCTGAATGAAACCCAGTAGGGCCACACCTATCCATCGCTGGGGTTAAAGGCAAGTTCAGAGCTGAGGCTTCTGTACTTAAGTAGTGTCAAATGGAGTTGGATGTACAACAGGGCTTCCAGTATCAGGAACATCCCCAGGGCCCAAGGCCAGGGAAAACAAGAAATTAAATTAAAATATACTGAGGCTGCAGAAAATTAAGAACATTATTTTTCTTCCATGAATGGGCTTCTATTTTTTATCCAAATTAGCTGTCTTCCTACAAACTATTCAGTTTAATTGGATATCTACTAAGAAGGACTAGAGTAACACTTTTTTACAGTACTTAAGTGGTTCGAAAGGTCCCCCTGAGAACAGCACTTACATAACAGTGCTCCGGAGTGCTATTAGTGTTGTTTTTCAGTTCTATAGCATTATAAAAATAGAAATAATTATCTTAATGGTGCAATTTATACAACTGCACTTTTCTTCTTGGTTCTTTTCTCACCAATTGAGCTTCCTTTGTGCTTTGCAAGATTTTTTTTCGTTTACATTCCTGTTTTGTTATTCTCTGTTTTGCAGGTAGAGTCACAGGGAAAAATAAAATACAGAACTTTAATAGCATTGTATCAAACTTTTTCCAACAACAGTCTCTTTTTGACAACAGTGTATTCAACATAAAATATAAAAATCCAGCATCCCGAAGACAGCAAAATGTTTTTTTTTTATTTCTGACACTCATATGACCTCCTGTCACTTTATACTCAACACAGACTATATTCAGCCACAGCTAGAGTGCGCAGTGTGTTTCCGTCTGTCTCTACAATGTTCAAATCTTTTTAAATCTGTTTCCCTTGTTTCTTTCCCAAGTTGGCAAAAAGCTACACTCACCAACAGCCACCTGCTAGAATTACATAGCTGTACCGATGCCTGAAAATAAAAAAGTTAGTTCCACTATCAAATTCCTTCTTTTTTTTCACAAAAGCTATCAAAACATTAATCGGGCATCTAGTCTCAGCCACAGGACTGCATGGAAGGTGCTAAAAGAGAAGATAGATTTTATAGAAGTTTATTTTAACGTCCCTTTGCTTTGCTCTTGGGGAATTAATACCAATAATTCATTATTTCTCGCAGGACAGTCGTTCACACAATAACTTTGGCCTCTGCAAGCTGCTTTGGATAAAGGTGGATCTACACGCTGATCCTAAGGAGACGCTGCTTTTCAGTTTCGAGTGAAGAATGGCGATATTTTTTGTCGGCAAAATACAACAAAAGGAACAGAAATACCTTTCGGGCCCCGATACTATCTAGAAAGATACAGTCTCTCAAAGTGCTCCGTCTCAGCTCTTCTATGAGTGTCTCTCGGAACAAGAAAAAAAGGTAAAAAGCAGAATTCATACATTTTCTACACAGCCTGTTGCAGCATATTTAGATTTGCACGAAAGTTTGATTACTTCGTTTTACTTCATTGTAAAGCCTCGTTAATTTTTGGGTTACCATATATATTTTTGGAAAGCGATGACATATTACTTGATTGACTTTTTTACCATCGGTTCGGTTATTAAAAATGAGCGGAAAATATTTGAATTATTCTGTTATTAGGTATCGTAAAGCTAAGGAGCTGGATTTCCTAACATGCAAGTGCCCAACTTAGTTAACCTGACCTGCAGCGTTTCTGGTGTAAATGCAAAATCAAATGTATAGAAAAGTAAAAGTTCTTTATGTAACTATGGCGATATGAAACCGCTTTTGTCATTATGTATTACATTTTGTTTTTTATACTTAAAACATAATTCATCTGACAATTTTAAGATTTGTCAACATGCTGTTCTTAAACCCACAGCAACGCAAATGAAAACACGTAGAAAAACTAAGGTCAATTTCAACAGTACCTTGTTTACCAATAGTTTGCATGTATAAATCCATCTAAAAAGGTGCCACATGTTTTTGGACAGTGATTGTGCACGGGGTTATGTGATGAATTATGTAACTACTGCAGCACAGAACCAACAATAAATATTTCAGTCCTGCCATGACACCACACAAGACTTCAGCCTTTCTCCATAACGCATAATCCACGCGCACGTGTCCTCCCTCTTTCTTACTAAAACTTCCACATCCTGAAAGAGAGCTCTACTTTGTCTTCATCTGCTTTGGCGGAGGAACACAATAGCGGTACAGCAACACAAATGTTTTGAGACGATTCAGCTAACGCACCAGCCTCCTAATCCCCACCCCTCCTCTGAGCCAAATCTATTATGAAGTCATTTGATTGACAGTAGAATTCCCAATTGAATCTCTGGATGTAATCTAGACGCTCTATTGACAGAGCGTTTCGGCGAATAAAAATATATATGGGGTGTACGTAACTATTAGTTCCTGCTTGCGCATGACGATGTATGATTGACACTTCCTTTAACCAATCGCGAGCATGATGTATTCTGAGCTACGCTCTTCGATCTACACTACCACCCAATAGGAGGTTAAAAGGCGGGTTTAATCTCGGGAAGCTGTCGCGTAGCTAACCGTGGGGATAGATAGGTTGTTGAGTGCGAGGCCGTTCGTCTGTGAGTGTGTCGGGGCGACTGGGGGAGAAGGGGGAAAAAACTCGCTGGAAAAAATAATTTATAGATCTGTAAAAAAAAAATATTTAAAGCAAACGTTATTTTAATTAATCGTTTGAGCCTCTAGTCCCCTTTCGCATGATACTGCTTGAAAGGAAGTAAGAGTATTTTGCTTGAGATAAAGAAGGGCGGGTTGGAAACATGTTTTAAAATCCTGTTTATTTTTCTGTCACCTAAAGTAACCCTAAATATTCCCCGGGATTTTAATTCGCTGGCTAGCCTGAAAACGGAAAAAAACCCCGCTGACAGCCTGCCGAATATGAACTGAGATTCCTGCCAGGGATATAGCCTTATCTGGTTGTTTTGTGGATAAACATCGGCGACGATCCTGGGTTTTATTGTTTCATTGTAGCTCAGTTAGTGGCTGCGGGGTCGCTGGGCTGCATCGGACAGCCCGTGCAAGATCAAGATTTTCGTCAGCGGCTTCAGCACTTCAGCAAAGTGGAACCTGAGCGTTGATCAGCAACACTGTACTTAAAATCTTTCGAGGTGAGTTTTTTTCAGTGTGTGTGTGTGTGTTTTCTCCTAGCAGTCCATGGATTGTTAGTGCAGCGATGTTAGCTGATGTACTTTAGCGACGGCCTGGCCTGTGTTGCATGCTCGATGTGATACTTTTTCGATCTGTTTCGCTTCACTTGAGATGTAACTGTAGTTGGGGCTTTTTTGTTTCTTGGAAATCCGCCCAGAGACCGGTTCTCTTATTTTTTTCCAAGGTATTTTTGGTTTTCGAAGTCCATGCTCGGGGCTTTGGCTTTGTGAATATGTGACGATGGGTGTTACGTAACGGCAATTGTTGCTGAAAAATTGTGTGGGGGAGAGAGATGGGCAAAAACTTTTCACGTATTTTGATTCCCTGGAGCTGTCTTCGTATTTCTGTATCTGGTAAGGAGCCCTAGGGTACTTTAGTGTCCATAAGCGAGGGCAATCAGTTTTTGCAAGTTTGTTCATTTAATCGATCAGATGGAGTATCTTAATTTTAAAACATTTAGATCACAAAATCCTGATCTAATGATCATGAAGTGATTTCAGTCTTTTAGTTTGGATGACTTGTCATCTTTACTTGTGAGGTAAAAAGGGCTATATTAAGTTCAACGAGATTCCTCAGGTGTCGATTAGGACTAGCTTCCAGTACCGGAAAATGGTACAGAAACATTTTGTAGGGCGTGAATGTGAGGATTTCTTTGTTCATAACTCGCGAATTCTGTTTTTTTTTTCGAGTGCATTTAATTTTAGGCTTTGTAATTTGGTAACTTCGAATATGTAACACATATAATCGAATATGTAATGCCCATGTTTGCAAGCCCTAGGTGAAAACGATTGCGCACGTCTTTTGTACACAGGCTTGGGGTTGTCACTTACCTCTCAAAAGTTTAAATAAAGCTGTAGAGGCTGGCTGAGATATTTTATCAACGTTTCTTAAAATACATTTCTTTTTAAATTCTTTCTCGATGGCTTCTGTTTGGAAAATAGTTTGATTAGCTTCGCCCACATTAAATTAGTGGGGTATCTTGTTTTTAACACTTAACAGTGCGACGCCTTTTGGGTTTGGTTGAAGGTTTCACGTCTTGTAAAATTTAAAATAATATGTTTATGCTACAATTCCTATGATGCGCTTGCTTCTTCACCATATTTTTACGTTTATTACTCATTGTCTTCCTTTGCAGCCGCCGCAGAAATCGATTCTTATAAGTGCTGCCTGAAATCGTTTTTGTGACAAGATTTTCGGCTTTAAATAACAGTCTCTTAACGTACTGGATTATTCTTGCTCTCTCTTGAAGTCTTTTTGCTTTCTACTTTAACTCCACACGTCAGAAGAAAAAAACACTGCAATGCAAAGTGTCAACTTCAGTCTGTGTTTGAAATAACCATAGTGAAAGTTAAAGGCACGTTTATTACCATTTCTGTATACACTACCGCATGTGCAAAGAGGTGGAAATCCCATTATAATGCTGGAAAACATTTTGATGCATATTTTTTAAACGATTAAAAAATTCTCAATTTGGATTTTTTTGTGGTGGTGGGGGTGGTTGTCATCTGTCCCTGATAAAGTGTTGCCCGTTAATTTATGAGTTCAGATAGTTGGTTTTCCTAAAATTGGTGTCTAGTATTGTAAATCCTTCTGTAATGATTTGTGTGGATTTGAAGTGAAGTGACTGTTCCCAGTCCAGCACTTCCAGGGGTCTCTTTAGAAACTGCTGAACTGGAAGTGATTGTTTTGCTGAACGGAAAAATTTTGATATCGCCATAATCGTCAATATTTGTTGCCTTCAAACTCTTAATAGTAATTAAAGGTGGGTTCTAGAAATTGATGCCCATTAGCAAGTGTTGCAGCAGCTGTTTAATTAATGTGCTTGAGTCTCTCACATCTTTGGTTGAGGTGTGCTCACTTTTAAGTTGTCATGTTCCATGATTGTTGCTGGAAAGGATCCATGATGATGTCTGCACGACATCAAATCTTGTCTTTCGTACAATATTTCTTTCTGCTGACTGCTAAGTACTTAACTGTTCATAACGGCTAGGATGTTGTGGTTTACATCATGCTCTAGTACAGTATGTATGGTAAAAACGTCTGGGGATCGTTTACACAAGGGGGGAATGAGTTGAATATGAAAAAGAGTGCTTTTGTGAACACCGACAACATAGCCTTTTTATTAATGATTAGGCCTACCTGTTATATAGTCAGCATAACAAACTCTAAACAATTTGAGTCTTTCTGTTTGCAGTTTCTAACAGTGTAAGTTTACAAGGCATGTATTAGACAGTTTCTTTATAATAAGTGCATGAAGCATTCGCTTAATGTTGGCTTTAGTGTACTTATTTCTGCATTTATACTTTTTTCAACCTCTCAAATCGGCCAAGTAAAAAAAAAAAAACAAACCTTTTCTGTTGCTGGCCTTCATCCTGAAAATGCCTGTGTTTTATTAATAAGGAGTCATTAGTGCATTGTATGGTATTTCCACTACTGGGAAAGAAGGTGGAAATCAGTAACTAATGGCCTGTTTTCACAGTGTTCTGTGGTCTTTGAGCTCGCTGTTAAGAGTTCTAGGAAACACCAGAATGTTGATTTCAGAATTAGAGGTTTGGAAGACTTAAATTATCTAAAGACCTCAGTGTTGACTGTTTGGAGTTATAGTGGTAGGGAGGAAGCTAAATGTTAGAAGCTTTTAATCTCAAGTTCGGATTCTTTTTATGTCTGATATTGTATGCCATCTCATTAAAAACAGGGACAGCAGTGTACACAGCTGAGCACTTATAAGCTTTTGAGCCCGGATTTTGGGATCTGTCATCACAGCCTCTTGGATTTCTTTTGTCTCCGCACAGGTTTCCCAAAAAAGGCCGGCGGGGAGAGCGCAGGCTCACCTTTTCTGGGTGCACGTGTGTCTGCCTCTCGGGAATACTGAACCATGTCCTCCATCCTGCCTTTCACCCCGCCCGTGGTGAAGCGCTTGCTGGGCTGGAAGAAGTCAGCCAGCGGCTCAGGAGGTGCAGGTGGGGGGGAGCAGAATGGGCAGGAGGAGAAGTGGTGTGAGAAGGCTGTGAAGAGTTTGGTGAAGAAGCTCAAGAAAACGGGACAGTTAGATGAGCTGGAGAAGGCCATTACCACTCAGAACTGCAATACCAAGTGTGTCACAATACCAAGGTAAGGACTGTTAAGACTGGGGCGCGATATTGAAGAGGCAGGTCAAATTATGAGCTGGCCTTGGATTTTTTTTTTTTATTGATTTGTTGTTCGTGGTTGATTACAAAATCTGCAATTAAAATATAATCTTAACTGGGCAGCTTAGTAGAAGTGGCCCCCTACTGCAATCAACATCTTAAACCGGATTTCTTCAACAATCTTCTTAGTAAATGCATCCAAGGCCCATTCTTCCTATTAGCCTATTAGCCAAATGCTGTCCTTCTATCCTTTATAAACTGCTTGAATAGGTAAACTGGATAAGGAAACTGCATCTGTGAAATATGCATGTGGGGAGGCTTGGCTGGCTGGCTTATTATAAATACATATGAACCAACATTATGTTCAGGCAGATTTAGTGGTTAATCCTTTCCTAAGACTGAAACAGGGCTTCCTGAGAAGATTTCATCACAGAACATAATTTTTATTAATCCTGTTTCAGTTTTTAAGAACCTCCTAATAAATATCTATTTGAAGTCACAGTAACGTAACATGGGCTTTGGTCTTCAGAATATTTCCCAGTTTTCTAAAATGTATACTGATTTACCATTTACCCTGCACAAGGGCTGTTTTGTCAAATATTTTCCTGTTTTCCATTTTATTTTTTGCTTTAGCTCTGTAGGTAATTACCAGCAGCAGTGGAGTTTCTAAATAAAACTGACAAGACATTGAGTATAATGTACGGTTTATTTGTTAGTGGGTTTTTTTTTTTATTATTGGTTCTTCTAATCTTACTCTTAGTTTTACTGTCAGGCTTAAGGTTATACAGAAAATAGTTTACTTGTCTTTTTCCCATTTTTTCCCCCCAAGATGTTTCAATTCTCCAGGCTCTTATTCTGTTGTAGCTCTTGCTTGTATGTCCACACCAGTGAAATCAACTTTTGCTGCCTGTATTTTGGGTGATCCTTGATATCTTCACACACACACACACCTTGAGACAGTGGATGGCAAAGAAAATCTAAACAGCTGTATTTCAGAAATCCTAAGGTTTTAAAATATAGATGCCTTTGAAGGGAAACATGTATTTCCTGATTTAAATTTTAATCATTATCAGTAGTGTCCTTGTACATCTGTGAACCATGTTTGCAGCTGGTTATAGTTACCATGTGTCCTATTAATTGTCTTTAACCAAAAGAGCAGGTGGTAGTCAGCATCCCTTGATACCTTCTGTTTCCAAGTCTGTCATTAGGTTTCCTAAACGTAAATCAGACATTCCTCATGGCCCTTGTATATTTAAACTCGAGGCTTACTTGTGCAATGCCTGATCTCAGCCCTCCTATAGAAAAGCATTTTTATCCAGGGATTCAAGTTAAGGATGTGAATTATTATTGGGTTTTTTTAAAGGCAGAAACGATATCATATTCTTATAGCATTTTTGTTAGCTGAGCAATTTATGATCTGCTGAATTTATTTAAATTTTGGTTTCAGAATTTATGATAACTGTTTTGCTGACTAACATTCCTGATCAAACCGCTTTAGATTTCTTGTAAGATGAATAACTGGCAGTGATTACGAAGATGACATACATATATGAATTACAAGAGATGTGCTGAAGGTGTGGGGGTGGTCATAATATTGATTTGCTTACTGTGCCTTGCAAAAGTATTCATCCTCCTGCAAAGCTTTCACAAGCTGGTTCTGCCTGAGCTTGCAAACGGAACCTTCGATTTATAATCGACACAGTCTTCTCCAAACTGGTAAAGGTGAAAAATGCAAAAGCATGTAATTTACATTTATGAAGATAATCGTATATATTCACACTTTGCCATGGATACTCTAAATCAGGTCAGATGCTAAAGCGTAGTTTGGCAGGTCACAAAGTTAGTGTTGTCATCTGTGTGAAATAAAAGTGGTTTAATTGACTATGTAGTAAATGCATCCATCTCTTTGCATTCTCTCACTAATTTTTAAGGTAACGGCTTGCATTGTGATTTAATTTTTCTGTTGAAGCTGACACCTTGGCTTCCTTTAAGAATTGGCTGGATGAGCTCCTTGGACCAGTTAGCTACTACCAAATGACTTCTTCTCATTTCTTTCTTATGTTGTTTGTTTTATGATAATGCAATTCAAGTATTAAGACCAAGGAGCTTTTAAAACTTTAAAACCTTTTATGGGTAAAGTAGTAAAGAGGCAGAGATGAGTGAATTATTATCCATCATACTGCCCAGAGACGTCCTACACCAGGCTGATGCAGTTCACCAGGATAACTTGGGGTATAGATCATTAATTGCATTTGCAGTCCTGTATTTCTTTTTTGCTTTTCAAATTTCCAGTTAATTTTTAAGATACATTTGTTTATAAACGTTTTTACAGTTGTTTTAACGTTCCAAAAAGTTTAGCAACATCTGAAATTTACAAAATCATGTATCACTTAGAGACTATGTAAACTAGTATTTCAATCTACTAAAGTATTTACTTGTGTGTTGCTATTCTGTTTTCTTGAACCACTAAGATAGGACCTTGAAGTTGTTGTAGGTAGCTGCTCTGAAGTACAAAGGATGGGAAGTTGGAGGAAAGGGCTTTTCTGGGTGTCTGAAAACAAATGCTTTAGTTTCCTTTATGTAATGATACCCCCCATTCCCTTCTCACTCTCCACATAAATAATGTGGTGTCACTTCAGTTTGTTGGTGGAGCCCATTTAGCATGGTTCAGTAATGCATTGCCTACAAGAACGTCTTCTGGAAAGGTATTTCCTAGACTTTCATATTTGATTGAGATTTGGCTTTGTTAGCCATGCCAGCTGAAAGTTGAAAGGCAGCAGCTGAGCTTTAGTGTAAGAGTTGCTGTGATTCCCTTGTAGTGTTACAGTATTTTTACGTGGTCCAGCTTGATTTAATTTTCTTGTAATACAAAGCATTTGTGAAAGAGAAGTGGAAGTTATTATTTGTTTTCCAAATAGTTGTAAAAATACCACTGAGGAGACTACGTGAAACAATCTATGTTCTATTCCACAAAGGTTTCAGTTGTTCATCAGTGATCTGAATTCTGTAGCTTTAGTCTTTTCCAGTCCTTTTTCAAGGTATTTGAGTGTTTTGCATTCTGAATTTTAAGATATGCAAGAAGAGCTACAGAGTCCAGACCTGGTCATATTTTAGTTTGTAGTAAGTAAGGCAAATGTGAGAGAAAAAAACCCTTAAGTACTCCTAGAAGTTTCCAGCAAACGATAATGAAATTAACCTTGAAGGGGCAGGCATTGTGCTTTCGAAATCAGTCCAGAGAATGAACAGGCGCAACAACCACAGTAATCCTTCTTTTAGGGTTTTAGAATAAACCTTTTCTGCTTAAGTCCACATCACTTTTTACTTTTTTCTCATTGTCCAGAGTCGCAAACTTAGGATTGCTCTCAAAATAACATATATGTAATGGGTGGGTACTATGCCAGTGAAAAGAGAATATTAATTGCTGGGTATTTATTTCTTAAAGAATTGGTTAACTTTTTTTTACTACACCTGTCAAATGGAGACATCATTAGAAAGTTGACTTTTTTAATCACTGCTTTTAACCGATTATTGTATGAGGAGGTAGTCTTGTGTAACTTGATCTGAATGTATCCAGAATTAAGTAGTTGGTTTGAAACATTTTAGTGCTTTTCTTTTTCAATCTAATTAAACTAGACCAAGATCAAGGGCTTGTAAAGATGGGTGTTGTTATAGTATGAGCCAGTGTGTATTAAGGATAGCATATTTGTTTTTCATATTTACTCTCCTAATTTGAAAATGGCTCTTTAATACATGTACAAGACATTGATTTGGTCAGAAAAAACAATTGGCAGTAAAAAATAAGTTGGTGTGTAATTTAAAAGAAATACTTAATGTAACAATCGGAGAGTGTTCTGCAGTATGAAACTATTTTGCATGAATGTGCCTGATGGTTTCTGTAAATCCCTGATGCAGCATTAGGCTATCCATCAAGGTTTGCTGACACAACTTAATTTAATTCTCATCCCAAGTTGCTGTTTCATTGCTTGCACGAATGTGGAAAACATAGGAAAGAAAATAGGAATCGGACATGAAATCCCCCTTGTCCGGAGATGTTTCCCATTTTCAGTGCAGGAAATCACTGTTTCATTTTTTAAGTGGAGTGGTGTAAGGATACTGTTATGTGAGTAATTCCGAGTATTCTATGCATGTGTATAATAAGTCTTTTGGTAAAAAGCTTGCAGAAGTTTTTTTTTTGGAAGGGGAGGCATGAGTAATTGTTTTCAATAAAATACCAGTATTTTAAAGGTTTTAGGTTTCCTTTGAAATACTGTCCGAAAAAGCTGTTGCCTTGCTAGTTTGGTACAGAGTAAAGCATTGTGACATCCAGCACTGAAACCAGTTATTAGTAGTTCACTTCTTGAATGCCTAAGTTGATGGTGAGAAACTGTAAATAACAGCTGTTTTGCCACAGATGTGTACTATGGCATTGGCGATTGTTTTAACTTCTCAGGTCTCATTTGTACAGTGAGATCGTGGATGATACCTAAAGTGATGAGACAGCTTTTTTGACTTCCCATTGAGACAGTGTGCATGTGGAGAGTGGGGTTGCGTATGTTTTTAAAGGATATTTTCTTTTCTTTTGCGGGCACCATCAGTTTTCAAAATCTGCAGTTGCTTTTCTAACCTTCCCAGGCATTGGCTGTTTCAGCTAAATGTTAAGGTGGTGGTAGAGAAAAGTCACTTCAGGAAACCATGAGAAAGAATATAGCACCTTTCATTTTTTGCTTAAAGTAATTGGAACGTTCTAAGTTAACTTTGGGTAGACCGAGTCAACGGGATTGCTGGGACTTTGTGATATTTGATAAAAACACACCAGTGTGTGGGGTAAACTAAATGAATAAAATTATTCTAAGGTGGGCAAATACCTTTTCCATTCTGCGGCTGGAGAAACTAATTTTAACTAATTCCTGCTCAATGTGTCCTAGTTCTTGAGTGAATGTGATCTATATGTCAAGTAAATAAACTTCTTTAAAGTGATAAAGT